GTTGAAGTTGATGTCTTAGTGAGATTTATTTAGCTATATAAAAAACTAGAGTGTGCCTGGCCGACTTTCCTCCGTGTTATTTGTTAGTAATAGAATCCAAGCCTCTCTGAACCCAATGTGCCACTCACATTCACTCATCCGATTATTTATGTATTCATGTTTTTCTTTTCCAGCGAGCTGTTTTTAGTTCATCACCAAGTGTCTGACTCACAAAAATCAATCTGTGCAGCTTCTCAATGGCCTTTTTCTGCCTTCTGTAATCTAGGAAGTCAGCTTGGATGCAATCATGGCGGGATAGATTTGATAGCTTAAGGACGCACAGCCACTCTGGATTCTGAATAGGAGTTGGGCGAAACCTAGCTACTGGTACGATCCAGGTGCCGGCTGCGTTGCTACTTTCCAATGTTTTGCATTGGGCATCAACATTCGTCGGAGCTTCCATTGCCTCTTGAGCCAGCTGTTGCGCCTCAATTTTTGTGTGCTGACAGGTTTCCAAGCATACGATTTTAGCAAAACAACAAGCCTGTGATAAGGCGTCGTGATGAATCCATCGACACATTTGCAAACACACGGCGTCACTGGAGCATAGTCTCAGTTTATTGCCCGCGTGGAACAGTGTCTGCTGCCGTGTGGAACACATGTGCTAGCTAGTAGGGTGTTGCAGGAAGTTTGTTGAAACTTTTGTGAACTTATGGATGTCACTAGCTAGTAGCCAGCCAGCAGCCTACCGTACCGTACTCGTTACAGGAGATTGCGTCGTCGTTCTTGTGGATGCTCGTGGTGTTGGGCCGTGGACGGTACAATTATTGCACAGTACATGTACTGTACTGTAGCCAACGTATTCCATGGGATGCTGTATCATTCATTTTTTCAGCCGGGAAGGCGGCAGGGGGCTCAGGCAAAAGGGGTGCCTTCATTGCGATTTGATTACTGTGGTGTACCATCCACACTGAACATTTGAGTTAGGATGGCTGATCTCCTTTGCCATAGCCATAGAACAGTTCCCTATCCCAGCTTTTCAGAATCAAAGTCCACTGCCAAAAGATACTCACGCGAGGATCCAAGGAGCCCACCTTTTCAGGACTATCCTGGATTTCTTTCTTGAGCTTTTCATAACTGGCCATGCTGCGTTGATCCAGACCCCTCAAGTTCTCATGACTGCGAAAGATGTTCATTTCATTCATCTCCATGTAGCTCTCCAAAAACTCTTCTCCTGGCTGAACAGTGGCGGCAGAAACGAGTTGCATCCGAGACAGGAGGCGCCCCCCGTGCTCTTTGCTGGAACCCCTTCTGGAGCTGCCTGCCGTAGATTGGTCTACCGAAGCAGCCAGAGTAGACTGTGGTAAAGAAGATCGATTGCGCGCTGTCATGGTTGGTTGCCCAGTATAGGATTGCAATGCCTCCCTATTGTCTTCAACAAGGTAGTGAGGCGATACGGCTTGCACTAAGATGCCAAGCTGCTCGTGCAAATTGTCAGGTCCAATCTAGAACTTGCAGCGCACTTGGAACTTTCTCTCAAGTCGTTGTTCCCCGGCGAAGAATACAGAGTCAATCGACACTACTTCAACGTCGTCTTCCCGCGCCCAAGCAGCTTTCTCATGAAGCGTTATCAACTGATGCCAGCGGGCGACAAGGCAGTCGCCTGTATTCTGGCGAACGTTGATCGGCCTCTGATTGACGAGTTTCTCGCTGACTACAGCTTGGAGCTTGAATTTGAGCGAGGATGGGTGGAGCCAAGCCATTGTACCTCCGTCCACTTGATGTCGCCCGCCGACTGCCCAGACTTGATAACCTACTTTCAGAAGGGCTTGAAACTAGGCGACATACATGTCAGGAAATGTCGTTACTCCGCGCTCTGGTTGAAACATCGGGCAGTTCTGACTTCAGCCTGATAGCCAGATCCCCGTCGACGAAGAACGAGATCTCGAGCTGTGTGTTGATAGTCGAGTCTCATCGAGACTTCTTGCAAGGAATTGACCAGGAATCATGCGAAGAACTGCGCCTGCTCTTTCACCTCGATGAGTTTTTTGCTGCCTCTTCCAACCACGAACACCCATTTCATCATGGTAATATTCACGTATTGTTCTCGAGCCTTTCTATTTCCAAGGAGTTGCTTGATCGAGCGCTGGTCGAGAAGGCGTGGGAAGTACTGAGGGCAAGAGGCGTCGAGAAGAAGCTATCCGCTCTTCAAAAAACACGTTTGCTTCTCGACTCGACTGGCATCCTTACTGATTGCAGCACTCCCCAAGGCAGCATGGCGCCACTGAGCGTCATAGCAAGCGCAAGTCTAGAGCAGAAGAGGTAGATCACAAGAATGCAATATTGATAATCAACACTGTAGAGCCATGTAAATGAATGGAAGGAATGATGAATCGCATGATGACTGGAGCACCCATCCCAAACATTTAAAGGGAATTGAATTGTTGGCTTGACGAATAAAAAATGAGCAGATTTCATGTTTTTCATCATTGGAATGAGCCTTCGCGTAGTTGGCGTCAGGTCGATGGCGTCATGGTCGAGTCATCGATCGATCCGTCGAACGAAGGAGCTCGTTGCCGTCGGTGGTTTCCAGCCAGTGCCATTGTCGAGGCTTTGCTTGCTGTTGGATTAGCGGTAGAGGCGTCGCTTTCGATCGCTCCGTGAAAGAGGAGTCGAGTCACTCCGTGGAAAAGGAAGCAATCCGTCGCTCGACTTGCTGCCGCTGTCGCTGTTTCCAGCCAATCCAAACAAGAGGATCCTGTCATGGTGGTGGTGTAGTAGTAGTCATGAAAGAGGAGTAGCCGCTGTAAAGAGGAGATAATAACATCATCTTGATAGAGGGTAGGTACTACGGTAAAGGTAACTAGTACCACCGGTACGTTTTTATGCCTTTTTTCGGACAGAGCCACGAACTCGATCACGTGACGTCAGCCAGCCTGCTCGATACTCAATAACACGGTACAGAAGTTACCCCCGTTGCATCCCCGACTACGCCTACTAGCTAGTACACGATCTCTGTATTTCTCCCACCTCTGGATGGTCAAAAGTTGATCATCATTCAGAAGCACCACATCGACTACGACTGTACTCAGAGTAAGCAACAAGGAATAGATCTAGTAATGGCCTTGTTACCAAGCAGCAGAACTCCTGTATCCTCCTTGGGAAGGAATGGGAAGGGCCAATTGGGAAAACTCCTGGTTGTGGTGTTGCTTCTATTGATGGTGATGGTGAATCGACAAGGCATTCCTCTGATAGCCTCCTCCCCCGAACCACCCGATCTCGCAGAAGCCTTGAGCACTGCACACAATAGTCTGGCCAATCAGAAACCCTATCCCGTCCAGACACAGGCCACTCCCTGCGCCCAAAAATATTTACATCAGTTAAAGAGTGAAAAAATGCTCCACGGACAAGGCGATGTGGATGTGCAATTGCATCATTATCTATTCAATGGTACAGTCAACATTCAGATATATATACAGGGGGGGATTCAGGAATCCAGTAAATATAACAGTGTGTCTAAATATAGAGCGTTACTGCTACTAACCACTAGTAAAGAACGAGTGGAGAGTGTCATCACGTTTGCGTTTGCCAGCCCTTGAACGACTTGGCTTGCATGTGCTTGAACTCTGTACGAAAGGAATGGCAGGCCTTGTACCAGTCAGATCTGTTCTTCGCCTTGGCTACATCGTTCTTTGAACCTGCTTTCGGTCCCCTCTTCGCTCCTTTCTTCTTCGTGCGGTTGAATCGGCGCCGTTCATGTTATGGCGCCGTTCATGTTGGTCTAGTCGGATTGGAGGAATTGTTATGGTTTGCTTGCACTTGTTTGTTGCTCAGAGAATTGTTTTTGTCTCCTTCTGCCATTCTGCGCAAATCTCGCGAAACACCATGAAAAACCCCACGAACGAAGATTTGCGCGGACTGGCAGAGAATGGACAGGCAAGCGAACTCCCATCGGCACCTCATCGGCATGCATTGGCATGCATTGGCATTTACACGTATGTCTCTGTCGAATTGGACGTTTGCGATGGATTGCGAGCGATTGTTTTGCTGTACGAGATTTGCGAAGGGTGTACTGACGTCATACGGTCATCGTGCTACTCGTGACTGGGGGGGGTCACTCGTGACTGGGGGGGGGAACTCGAGATATAATAAATATTATAGAGCGAATAAATATAAGATTATAAATATAAGCGAGCGTTAACTGTACAGGGCTTTGAACGTACATGACATTGTACTAGTAGTATTGATCGGAAGTACCGTATGCATATGATACATACATCATACATGTATGTCATACCCATGCAGTGTACCTACTATTTACTGGGACCTCAAGCCTCCGAGCTGCTGTACTGTGGTGAATACGTGAATACTCAGACTCCAGTTATACGTCATTTAACTGAAACTGCGACTCACAGAAATTGCCAACAGCACCCTTGTGAAAATGGAGAATGAATTGTGTCGCAAGGAACACTCGAGTTCTCAGTCCCACGTCTCACGAAACATTGTGCTCATTTTGTTTCATTTCCGGGCTCAAGACAGGAAGGAGCTCCATGCAGAGAGGTCTGCGGACAACAACTGTAATATCTTCCCCTTTTAGTTCCTCCTACGAAGGCCAGTGATGTTGCTGGTGCCTGTTGCTTTCATCGTCGTGGACTTCAATCTGGCGCACCAGTTGTGGAATCGAATCAAGTCAACGTACGGCTGGCAATGGTTGATTTTGCGTGGGGCTCGGGGGGTGCTGAGTGAAGCAAAGGGATGAGCATGCATTCGCGACGTTGATCGCTCCAATCATTGGCTAGAATCTGATAGCGGGGGGAGAGTGCCCAATCAAGGAAGGAAGCTCGAATACGAAAACAGAGACTAGGGCACCACGTGTAGTTGCAACGCCAGGGGCTGCAAGCAAACACGGAAGCTCCACAGAAATAAGCGCCAAGAAATACTGAACTGCAGATACCCGGACGACTGAACTCGTGCTCCTTGCACGTAGCCCTTTCGTCTCCGACGTCGGTAGACCAAGCCCATTCCTTGATGCAGTTGCTTGTTTATAGCGACAGCTCAACTATTGCGCAGTCAGCCAAGTTCGAAGCAAGAGATGTTAAGGAGCCTTAGCGTGTTACGGCAATCAAATTCCAACACAAAACATTTTGGACACTACGTTTCCTTTTGTACGGTTCGGGCAACAGGCCACAACCACATTCCATTTAGCAGCCAGCCAAATCTTCCAAGTCAGGCAAACTCAAGTTGGAAGTCAAATTCAAGCGAAGAGGAAGCCTGCAACAGCCATGAACGAGCCAAGTGCCGATGACAGCATGTCCACGCCGGAACTCTGCAGAGGCTGTCGATCTCCGTCCGAATCTCCATCAGTGTCATTGTCTCCGTCAGTGTCATTGTCGCCAACGGTGTCATTGTCTCCGTCCGTGTCATTGTCTCCGTCGGTGTCATTGTCTCCGTCTGTGTCGTCTCCGTCGGTATCAGTAGCATTTGTAACAGGCATCAATTCATCAGCTCCATCTTCGGCACCATCATCCGCGTCCCCGTCCGCAACAGATGTGCCTGCCGACTGAGGAACAACGACGCAACTGTTGGGGTCAAATCCAGCCTCACTGGCAATGCATTCTGTGGAGGATTTGCAAATGATTTTTGGTGAGTGCCAAGACCGAGAACGAAAACCACAAGAATACCTCTTGCAGGAACACGATTGTAAACAACGATTTTGGTCATACCATTATCGTAGATGCAGTTGGCAGTGCTGCAAGCAACGGGTTTGAAATCGCTCGGGCAGACTGCCGTAGGATCCAACGGTTGGTTGCAGCATTGGTCGCTGCTGAATCCTGCAATACGAGAAAAAAATAATAATGGAAATCAATAGTAAGGAGATTGTTGTTTTCGACAGAGAAGATCGTGTACTGTGGTGTGGTAGAGTACGTACCGGCCAAATCGGCGCATCCTTGGTTGGAATAATCACAGGTTCCACATTTGACGGGTGCATTTTCCTGCGTGCAGGCTCCTTGTGGTACAGGGCAGCACTCCTCGTTGGAAAATCCGGCATCCATGGCGACGCACATACTGGGGTATGAACAAGGCAAATCTCCACATTCGACGGGTTCCGAGATGGCAGCACAAACGGAATTTCCCAAGGGAGCAGGGCAGCAAATATTGGAATTGTATCCGGCAGAGTCAGCTTCGCACTGGGTATTGTAGGGACATTGTTTGTGTGGCGGTCCACAAGAAACTGGAGCCAAAATGGCGGGACAAGCGGTAACCGTGCGAACATCTTGGCAGCAATCCACATCCAAATTCCAACCTGCAGATTCAGCGTCGCAAATGGTATCATATTGGCAGTCTTTGGCAGGGCCACACTTGAAGGGATTGGAGGGAGATCCTGAGCAGTCAGCAGTTCCAGTAGGACATTCAGGGGGGGCAGGTTGACACTGGCCACTGTTGTACCCAGCTAGGCCGGCCACACAAGAATTGGAGTATTCACACTGCAGATCTCCACAGATGACGGGGGCAAACTCAAAGGTGCCTGAAAGCGAGGAAAACAAAAACAAAAATCACAACATGAGATGTCATTTTTCCAATAGGCCACTTTCAACCACCAAGCTAGCTAGCTAGCTAGTAAGGTGGAGCTTGAAAGCATCTTGAAACAACTTTCAAGTATCTTGAAACAATTGAAAATATCTTGAAACTAAGGTACTCACAGCCGGATGGTTGAGGTGCTTGGCAACAGTCAGTGCTGACATCGTACCCATTTTCCTGGGCCAAGCAGAAATTGTCGTAGGAGCAAGCCCTGTCAGGTCCACAAGCCACTGGGTTGAATCTAGATATTGGTTAGATAGCATAACACAATATACAGAGTTAGTAAGGACAAAAATGGAGTTTTGGTAGTTGAGGCAAGTGAAAACTCACGGTTCCCACTTGCAAGCACCACTGTCCGTGGTGCTACACTGAGCATTCACAAGGCTGCTGACAGAGATCAAGGCGACGGCCACACAAAGAGGAGAGAGCTTCATCATTGTCTTCTTGGTAGCTAGCTAGCTAGTACCAGTATCTTTCAACAAACTTTATAAAAATGAGGTTTCAAAAGTGGTGAGGAAAACAGAGAAGGAAACAACTCCGAGTGCGCATGAAACGGCCGAGTGTCAGCAAAAAGATCCACAAGATTCGGTGTGCCGGTACGATCGATGACCTGGCGGTTCCAGCACTAAATTTCTAAAAGAAGATCTTCAGGCGTCTGGCATGAGCCACTGACTTAGGGAAGGAGCACTGCAGGCATTTGCCGTGAACCCACTGACTTTCAAAGAGCACTGAGCCCTATTGCTGCCTCGTAAAATGGTGAGATCGTTGCATTTCCACTAGCGTTCTTTACAAAGGAGCAGACCAAAGTGTTAAATCTCCTGTCACTGGGAGCTCACTGGGACTGTCCGAATAGATCTCAGTGGTTACTGGCAGTAATCTGTCCGGTGATATCCTCGTAGAGCTGGTACATTTTCTACGTGACAGTTATTTTGCCGGATGAGATGTAAGCGTTGAATCACGAGGAATTTTTCTTCCCATCATGTGTTTCAGTGGTTTCGAATGTGGTTCCCGGAGTTAACGGAAAATCAGTCGTGAATTGCATCTCACTGCTTATTCCATAGTAAATTTCGCAAGAATCAACGGTTTCTCAAGACGGTTTCTTTTCCTTGCGCTTTTTCCAAAGATGGATGTCTTAGGATGACGTGTAGACAGTAAAATAGTACCAAATAAAATCGCACATCATGGGAAATCACTATAAGAAAAGAACTCTGGCTGGAAAATGACATCTCCGAGACGCTCAGCAAAGTTCTTCACGATTCAACGTACTCGGTTCGTTCCGGCAAATCAATCAGCGACCATGTGTGATGTCACCGATTGAATGTGGCTTATTTGTGGGATTCAATCAACAAAGGCCGTATCCACTAGCTACAACCACCGTCTTCCACTTTCTATGTCAATAGTATGCTTATTTGTAAATGAGAAGATGATGGAAAATCGAATTTGTTGCTGTTTCTATGGGTTGTTGTCTAACGGAAGGTTAAGAGAGGGTAAACAGTCGGAACGTCTCCACTCGACGCACGAAACAATTTCATTCGATACCACTCCAGTCAATTTTCTTCCATAAATTTCGAAAAGCGAAAGCCAAAAGCCAAGCTATGCCCCGACCACTATTGCCCCAAAAATGTCACTATCCAACCGGTAAACCTCCACCATGACGCTCCTACCGTTCAGCAATCCTTTTCCATCCATCATGACGACGGCTTATCCTTGCATTTGATTGGCTCCATTTTGATTTGCGGCCGGTACCAAATTCCCATTTGCATCCCGGACGCACATCACCTGCTGTGGTTGTGGCTGTTGTGGCATCATTGCTTGTTGTTGCATCTGTTGCATCTGTGGGACAATGATCTGTGGACCGACCTGATTCGCATATTGTTGCTGCAAAAATGTCTGACTAAATCCCATTCCCATCATGGCCGGATTGAATCCCATCATGGGTATTGCATCATCATTGGCATCTGGGGTTGCACCATCTGCATTTGTGGTTGCATCATCGGCATCTGTTGTGGGACCGCCATCGCCATCGGTTGTTGTGGGACCGTCATAGCCATCTGTTGCATCTGTGGTTGCATCTGTGGGACCGCCGCCATCATCTGACCACTAGCGAAACTTGCCTGACTCCCAACAACACTCGCCGACCCACCACCAATCGCCAATCCAGCAACACTCGCCGCCCCAACTCCACTCGCCGATCCAGCAACACTCGCCGACCCAAAACCAACATTGGGGACGGTGGCAACCGATCCAGCGAAATCTCGTCGAGCCAGCTCCGCCAAAAGCTCATCTCGCGACATCTTGCTGTGGTCCTTGCTCCCTTCGGTCAATTGGGAGTTCGCATCTTCCTCTTCTTCTCTTGAGTGGAACAATCTCTGGAATTCTACCACCCGCCTTCTTGGGAACTTCTTCTTTTTATTTCCTTTGGCGGCAGTCTTGGTTCCTCGCTTTTTGGCAGCGGGTTTCTTTGGCTCCTTCGTCATCGTCGTCGTCTTGAGCAGCGATCGCATCATCTGTCCCACGCAAGGCCTGGTGAGCTTTGAACAGACCGTCACTTGTCAAGCGAGCATAAGGAAGTTGACTCTTCTCGCACTTGTGTCGTGCCATCTTCAATCGAGTCTTGAGATCGACACGGGCGGCATGGAGTTTTGTGATTCCGTACGCTCGCCAACCATGATTGGAAATGTCTTCCCAATTGGTCAAGCCACACATTTTCGCTAATTCCTTGGTGAACCCATTCAGCTTGTGGTAGCCAAGATTTTTCGGGGTGTCTCCGTGCTTGGCGGGACAAAACCAAACATCACGTTTCGCCTTGGTGGTGTACTCCTTTCGCTGTTTGGCGGTGGCAATCTTGGCGAAGAACTTGACGGCTTCTGGATGACACTTTCCCTTGAAGAAACGGATGACCTTGACCGGACAGAGTTCGTCATGCGGATTCTCCATACACTCAATGCAGCGATCATCTTTGTTCAACGCCGATGGATTCACGAGATTGAGTCGGTTGGTCTTGTCTTCCGGGAGAACGAATGCTTCATACTCATTGCCGGCTAGCTCTCCAAGTCTTCGATCGTAGACACCCCCATATGTCTCTTCGTGCAAAAGATTCGCCATCTCCTTGCCTCCACGGAAAAGGAAGAACCGACCAAGCACATAGAGCAAGACGTACAGAAGATGCTGCGGATTTGTCCAGGGTTGGAGTCTTCCGTCACGAATCGCTTCACGAATCTTCGCATCCGCATCCCAGTCAATTGCGGATTTGTAATTCTTGACTCCGAACTTGGGATCGCTCTTCCGAATCATGTACCACTTGGTGATCATGAAGCCGTGGAACTGTCCCTTTTCATTGAAATCTTCTTTGTACTTGTATTGGATGCCGCGAGCTTTGTGAAGAAATGGAAAAGGATCTTTTGGATTGTACTGATTCGAAGACTGTTGTGGCCAACAGGTTTCCCTTTTTTTTCCGCTCTTTACAAACAGGCCATTTCATTCCTCACAAGACGAGACAATGATTGAGAATGGTTTGCTTGTCGATGTTCTTGTCTCCACTCACAATGTTGAAGAAGGCATAATCGACTATCTTCCCATTCGCATAATTGGCTGGTTCCTTCTTCAGAAGATTCGCCAAGATGTCGCCTCCATTTTCGTGGATGGTTGTGAAGAATCGATTCACACAGCGGGTGATTTTGGCGGCATGTTCCTTGGATACTTTTCCTTTGTCTTCGGATTCGGCTAACAACTTGAGGTCTTCCTCAGTCAATACCATGGATTCATACTGATTTCCAGCCTCCAAGGCACCAGCAATGGCAGCGGCAGAGTTGAGTATTGGAGTTGGCTGCTCCTCTTGTGGAGTTTCTTGTGTTGGCTCATCTTCCTCTGCTGTTGGTGAGGCTGTGTCCTGATTTTCCTCATTTTCCAAGGAGACTCTGGCAGGTCGGTTGTTGATTTGAGGAGTTCCTTCATTGCCATTTCCACCGAAGTCAATGGTACATTCGAGCGTGGATTGGAAGACGTTTGGATCTGCTGGAGTAGGAGAATGAGGATTGGCAAAGTCAAGGAGTGTCGCCGCAGCAGTTCCTTGTGTCAAAGGTGGTGGAGGAGCTGAGGCGAAGCCAAGCAGTGTTGCCGCGGCCGTTCCCTGAGTCAATGGTGGAGCCACAATCCTCCGCCCATCCGAATCCCATTGCACTACTGGGAGGAGAAGTTGCCGGTACAGGAGGAAGGACAAACTCGTCGTCGGACATCTTCACGGCCGTAGCTTCAGTACTGAATCCTACAGGTACAGGAGTAAATCTTTCGAGTGAATGACCTGCTACTGGAGATGTTGTGTCGATGGCCAAATGATTGGCTATTGTTGAGTTTCTTCAATGGAGCAGTATGGGCAGTTACAACAGTCTAATGTGTCAGTCTAACAGCTTATGTCTCGGATTATCACTGTACAGATTACACACAAATGACGGTCCTCTTCATTGGCAGACTCGGGTGTCGGCTGCGATCTCGTCTTCGGTCTCGTCGCTTTTCAGGCCTTCGGCCTTCCTTTCGCGCCCTTGACCTTCAGCCTCGATCTTGCCTCCTCCTCCTCTCGTCTTAAGATCTCCGGCCTGCGCGCTACTGTACGCGCCATACTCGGCTTCGCCTCGGAATCGCGCGTCCATAGCGCGCGGCCGTCGATCTTCAATTTAGCGGACCGTTTTTATACAAGACCTGGAACGGTATTTAAGTATGGTACGGCACCAGAACGTTCTGCCCGCAGGGCGACAACACCATAAATTTAACAGCGCACCTTTTGCAGGAACCACTAGAAAATTCCAGTGCTGGTTAGAACGTACATGTACACTACGTACCCGCAAGTTGCCAGCTAGCTATCGATAGCTAGCTCTACTAGAAAAGCAAACCCAGGACTGCTCAAAGCAGGTTTAATGCGATGCATCAGAACGAGATACATACAGTGGTACTGTATGCATACTTGAATTGCCAGCACTAGCTACCTACAAACGCCAGCAAAAACGGTATGGTCATCCGGAGTCTACCGGTACGCTCGTACATTTTGTATACCAGGTATAAATGAGAAAGCAGTTTTTGGCAATCACGTCGAAGACCAGCAGAGTCGAATTGGTTGAGCTGGAGCCCAACGGTACCCTTAGTAGAACCAGCAAAAGGCTTCCTCGGCAACACCATATGAATACCCGTATCATCCAAGCTGAAGCAGTACCGTGAGGGAACAATGCGATGGTTGGCAGGTAAGTACCACAAGTACCACGGAGATGGATCACGCCGTTTGAGTTTCGCTCCTTACCGGTGCAAGCGCGTTCGTCCTTTTCCTCAAAGGTCCCCTTTCATTGCTTCTATTTGCTACTAGTAGTAGTGTTTGTTTTGCTTCGCCTGATATTGACTTGGAGGAGTGCAGGCGTGCTGGGAGACTTTGCATTACCTACTACTAGCCAGCCGAAGCCTTCTCTTTCCTGGGGTGGTTTGTATGTAGTAACGCACGTACTGCTCAATGACAAATGAGATAAGCCACATATCAACGGTACCGGAACGTTGCGGTGCGCTGCTCGAGATCTCTCGTCAGTCGAACACGCGCAAGGAGGACCGACTCTGGCTCCGACTCAATGAACAGGGCCTAGCATTGGTTGTCGCGTTTGGCTTCCTCTAGCATCTACATGTAGCTATCCAGAGACGCAGCGCAGGACTCTACGCTGCATTCCTCGTACTAGTCAGTCCAGGCGTCATTGCGTTTCACCCAGGTGCGGTACCGGTTGATCTTCGTCTCTTCCAGGCAACTATAGGTAGCTAGCTAGCTAGCAGGCATCAGACTGACTCGACTCCCAGTGCGTTTTGCTCCGTCCACTACTCATCCACCATAACTTCTGGTGTGGAATCAGACGCGGACTGCTCTTCTTTGTCGTCTTCGTGGCAGCTGTCAGCCAGGTCGAGGTGGGATGCTGGTGCAAGGGAAATCGAATTCTCTGCAATTTGCATCTGACTACCGGTAGCACGATCGGTGCTGGTACATGTATCTTGGACGTATCCACAGGATTCGCACACCAAGTGATGACAGCCCGTTCCCACTTCTACAGGAGTCAAACGAGTACTAGTAACATTGTCACCCAGATGACAGTCGTCCACTCCACACTGGAAAAAGCGTGTAGAAGACATTCTCGACTCGTCCTCCTTTAGCAGCTTTGGGATCATGTAGATAATCACCGCCGCTATCGTATCACAGCTGAAAATCGAACTGTTGATGTGCGACAGAATTCTTTCATTGACAGATTCCCTCAGGAAGAAAGTTGCAACCCGAATAATCACAAAGAGGAAGTGTGAATAGATCAGGAAGGAAAGAGTGCGAGATTCGTTGAACTCGTGCTGGGAAAGTCGAGTTTGGAAAGCCAAGACACTTGCCGAGAAAAGCAGAACGCCGTTCCATCCAATCGCAACAAACTCCCAGATCCCAGAGTCACTGCTGCAAAAGTAGACAAAGTTCACAACCCGTGCTCCGTCTTCGTTCGTTCTTCCTGTAAGGATGTACTCGGCTTCCTTGTACGGGGGATCCACCACGGACCACGATATTAGAAATGCCAAGACCAGCAGTACAATAACCACCACTGACTTGTAGAGGTCCGTCTTCTCGAGGCGTACTCGCCTCATGTGTCTGGCGGCGGACATGATCCTGTTGATGCCCGCAATTTTGATAATCAGGGGTACCAGTTCTAGGGCATAGCCCAGGTTGATCAAAAAGATGGACAGGACACAGCTGCCGTTCGATGGTGGTATTCCAATGACAACGGACCCAGTTGCTACCAAGACGAGGCCTGCGAGCAGCAGGTACAAGAACTCGATTTGAGCAATTCGAATGGATCGTTTGCCTTGATATCTGTGGACGGCGTAAACCGTCAGAAGGACCAATAGAAGCGCCAAGCTCCCGAAGGAGACTGAAATGAGGGTCCAGTATCCAAGCGATCCTTCTCCTCCTTCCAGAACTCGTGGATATGTCTGAGGCGTGAAGGATTGTAAAAAGTCGACGTTTTCCACAGCCCATTGGCAGACGGCTTGCCTGGCATCTCCTTTGAATTGCGCCTTGAGGCTTGCAATGTCTCCCAGGTGGTGTTCAAAGAGTCGGAATGTCCTCAACACATCATAGGCAGGACTGCGAACCGCCTCTGGTATGGACTCTGCGTGAGTAAGTTCAAACAAGTTCCCGGTAACAACCTTTTGGAGTGGTTTGGGAGAGTCGCCACAGTCTGCTTCGGGTCCGCCCACCCGAATCGTGTTGTTGCCATTGCAGGTTTCAGTACGATCAGGGCGGGCATCAAGGCATTGTTTCGTTGGAGACTTCATGGTGATTTTATGAAACTCTGCATCGCTTCCCATGAATTGGTGTACTGCTGGCTCTGGAGTGTACCAGAACATGATCAGGTTGCTTTTCGTCGCATTGGCAGCCTGCCAAAGTTCTCGCAGCTGCGAGTAGCTATATCCACGAGAACCGGGTAGCGGTCCATTGCTCTCCAATGCAATGTTCAAGTGATAGAATTGTGCCTCTGCGAATGATGTCCAGTCACAAGGGTAGTCAGCAAAGTGTCCAGTGCAGCTGTCGTTGTTGAGTGTACAGTTGTTTTGATCAGTGTATTGAAAGTTTCCAATGTAGGAACCGTCTACAAAGTAGCGTGCAGCTTCGGTTTCATCTTTCGGGGGTCTTTGGGCCACTTGGTTGGATGTCGTGCAATTGTCGATGGAAACCTGTTCGCAGTATTGCAGCCACGACAGGGGACGCTTAAACGTCTCGGCAAGCTTTTGTCTATAGCGATCTCCCTTGAGGCCAATGTATGTAGCAAAGGAGGGGTCTTGCTCCAAGGTGAATTTGGTGACGTACAATGCTTCTTCCCCGACGATACCATAGCTGGTGGGAGGCTCTAACGTCCCCTCGAACACTCGGTCCTGGGTCCAGCTGTGTCGATACCGTACGCATGGGATAGGAATAACGTTCAAATTAGGTGTACACCACGTCTCTTGGGCATTGCAGTGATGATCAGTCTGATGACAAGTCAACTTTCAACTTACTTGGCCTCTGCATCCCAAATTTCCGGGGTGAAGTGAGCGCAAGGTTTATGGGCATCACCTCCCCGTTGTACCATCCGACAGTCTTCGAAAGCAAACGCAGTTTCCAACGCTTCACTTTTAGAATTGGCCCCGTGGGCAAGTTCCGGCGGAGGAAAGGGATCGTAGAAGTTCAAGCTTGCTTCTTCTGGAGACATTCCACTTTCCACGGTGGCCGGGACACCCACCAATTCACTAAGCACGATCTGTACAATCCAGGCGGCAAAGATGCGGCTTTCCCAGTTGGCTCCAAAGGAGCGCATTTCCATGTAGTCCAACGTGGGCGCCCGGCAGATGCCGTTGTCCATGTCCTCTCGGCTATCTTCTGAGTTGCACAACCTCACGTGTGGGACCACCCCGTGGGAAAACAAGCACCCTTGCGAGAAGGGATTCCTCATTCTTGAAATAGGGTTCAGACTTTCAGGCTTGGCAAAGACGGCCCCAACCATCACCGGCAGAAGGAGCCAAACTGGGAGACGACGCGTACTACCAGTAGTTGTAGACACACCAATTGAGGATACCGCCATGGTCCTCTCTTTCTTTCTTCTTGGAATCATCTTGTCTTGATCTTTCAAACTCCAACTTTGGTTTTGCGGTGCGAGCTGTGGCGTTCCGTTGTCCTCGAGTTGGTTTTGGGTTGTTCTCGTGTAAGCAGCAAGATTGTGTGGCAAATGAGTGAACCGTGTTTTGGCCGGATAATGGATGAAGCATTCGAACCTGTTCAGAGAGAAAGTGAGAGTAGTACTAGCTACTGGTAGACCTGGTACCAGGTACAGTATGTACCAGAGCTGTACAAGTGGCTGTGAAGTTGAGAAGTCCAGGTCTATTATCTTTACGAAGTGAGACGCTTCAAATGCATACCGCTAAAAGACTGTAGAAGTTGTATACTGTAAAGCAACAGAGTAAATCCGCTCATATATCCTGAGTAGTCACAGAGTCAATTTTGCTTTAAATCCTCAGATTCTGGTACCAAGTAATTGACAAGTACTCGAGTACCATGTACCGCTTGGACAACTCAATAAGCCATTGTAGCTGCATTTCACCACATACCCCGTCCACCCAATCTGGGGGGGGAAGGGACAAAATCAAGGCAAGGCCAATTTCGTTGATGATGGTGTGGCCGTACCGTTACGACCTGTACGAACCTGTAGACTGTCACTCAGGGAGGATAGATCACTGTTCTGGTATTGCTTATTAGGCAGCAGCAGGATGCATCCAAACCCTGAAAGCCCGTTTCGGAGATTGTACGTTTCGGAGATTTGCAAATACTGATAATTTTTTCATTATTGCTCTCCACATGACAGATCGACTCGATTCCCAACTATCTATAGTGCCTAGCTAGTCAACTGCATGCTGCCAACAATGAAAGAGATCCTCTACAGGATCAAACAGATACCTGGTACCAGTACCGTACGGTACGGAAGCTAGTCTATGTCACCATAGGAATCACTGGGGGAAAATGGGCTCCACATATTGTGAGGTTGTTTCGTCCTGGCGCATCGCGATTCTTTCCTGGTCTTGTAATAAATATTGACGTAAATGCTGTTCTAATTGTTACTGGTACGCTAAACTTTTGTCGGCTTTTTGTCACTTTTAAAATTCAAAATGGCCGACTCAACTCGACTCTGACTCGACTTGACTAGGACCCATGCAAAATGTACGTTTTTCTTCTTTTTTTCTCGAATTTGTCCATGTACTAAATGTAGTACCAATCCATCCAGCAACGCACGCGGCTATAGCTGCCTTGGTTAGAAGAGACTTGTGTCATGGCCATATTCTTGATCGGCCAAGCTTTGCTGCTTCGCATTGGTTCCTTGGTATTCAACGTCATTGTCTTGGTTATTGTCATTGTACTGGTTATGATTGTCGTAGTGGTATGATTGGTAGTCAGTTCTTTGCTGCCACGCAACTGGAGCAGTTTCTTGCTCCATGATAGCATTACTAGCAGTAGTACCAGTACCGGTGCCAGTATTGACGGGCGCGTCCAGTTCTGGCAAAGTGGTGGAGGGATAGATGGCTGCATCCTCTCCTTCCTGAATTGCAACGACAGAACTGTCACTTTGTGTGGCAGTTGCTTGTTCCTGTTCCTGTTCCTGTTCTGTTTCCTGAACGTTTTGTACTTGCTCCATCGCCATGACAGGACTGTCACTGTCACTTTTACTCGGGGTGGCCGGTTGTTGTTCTTGTACTGTTTCCTGAACTTGTACTGGCACTGGTACTGCTGGCACTGGTACTGCTGGCACTGGCACTACTGGCACTGGTACTTGAGCCACTTTGGGTTGGTCCATGTACATGTACTGGTAGTTGCTTTTGGATGGAGCCATGATGCGCCCCACAATGGCATCTGTATCCATGCGAGGATGAGGTTGCTTGCTGGTTTGAGGGGACCAAGTGCTCTTGATAGCAAATTCAGTTGCTGCTTGAAAGGATTCCTTGAGCAGTTGGGAAGGACGGCTGTCATTGTCATTGACAAGTCCTTTTTGCACCAGTAATTCTCTGAAATTACTAGTTTCTTGTGTACCAGTACCAATGACCTGTCCAATTTGGTGTTCCACCTTGTCAAGCAAAAAGTCGGAAGGCATTCCAAAGAGCGCATAGGGAATTCCTACGTACAAAGTGGTAGAAACCACAAAGCCAATGCTGTTCAAGAGTTCATTGCTTTCTCGTTCTTTCTGAATCTTGGTTTTGGCGTCCAACCGGGGAGCTGCCTTGAATTCATACCTGCCGGTACTAGCCTTGTAAATACTACTGGTAGCCTTAGCAGAGTTACCCTTAGTGCCTGCAGCAATGGCACTGGCACTGGCACTGGCACTGGCAATAATCTCCTCCTTGGTGTTCTTGGTCTTGCCACCGGTAGAAGGGGTAATGGCAGGAGCAACACCAGTACCACCAGTACCACTAGTAGTAGCCACTTGTACCCGAGACAGAGAATCCAAGTAGGACAGAGTACCAGCAGCACCAGTACTGGTACTTGCACTCAACGCGGACACTTGAAAGTTATGGTTGGAAACAACGGCAAGCCCAGCTAACGCTAGCAAGTGCAACGTTGATACGCTTTGAATGCTAAAGCTAAAGGTACCCATGCTACCGGTAGATGCCTATTCTAAAAAATCAAGCTGTGTCTCTGCCTTGCCTTATTAAGATTGTATGATTTGAAAGGATGAAAGGATATTAGTACTGTTTGTTTTATGGAGTTGTCAAGCTTGATGCATGAGAGATGATGGCTGAAGCAAGGATCGAGGCACCACGAGATCTTGCTTGAGAGGATCTTAGCGGAAGAACGAATTCTGAATGGAGGACGACAGCACCATGCGTCAGTGAGTTTAAATGATGTCATCAGTTTAGAGTTAGAAATATATTTCTAATAGTTTTAGGGTTAGAGACTTGACAGCCACCCACTCTCGGAAAAGGCCTGCATGCCGTTTTTGTGCAAAGTGTGAATGTGTGTGTAACAACTTTGGATCAGAAAGCATCAGAACGTCTTGTGCAAGAATCAAACAGAAAGAGGCCTTTTTGAGGAGCCACATACGTACATTTTACATTTTACCTGTCTCAAGCTACGGACTCCACTCCCACCCCGAGTTCCGAAAAACACCAAGACCAAAGTCCACTACTTTCAGCTTTCAGCACAAAAACTGCTTGGCGCTGAGAGGCGTTGGCGTTGGGAGCTACCTACTAGCTATTGAGTACTAGTACACAGCTCCACGCTGCGCTGCGATGCACGGAAGTCGGAATGGAACCACCAAAGATTGCATGGTGACTGGCTGCGGTAAGAGGTAGCACTCAAGTTTTCTTGTGAATTCAATCACTTCCTCCCATAAACTCAACAACACAACACAACACAACACAAACACAAACACAACACAACACAACACAACACAACAAGAAGATGGTATTTCACAAGAACTATGCCGATGGAACTCCAAGACCACTGTGTCGAGGATGGCTGCATGGGATGGGAGCAATGACGTATCTCCCTCTAGTATGTGTTCATTGGAACGACATTCCCACCCCAGCATTGCCCGCTGTCATTGCCATTGCCTTTGTTTTCATAATGTCCAGTCTGGTGCACTTGGTTCCCTGGAAGTCTGAAGCACTGCTGGAAGCCATTACTCGAGTTGACAAATCCTGTATTCTGGCTGTCTGCGGGGCTTCCTTCATGGGATTTCAGCTCGTGGAGAGTGAAGCTTGTAAGCCGGATTTCTTGCTGTCAGTAGGTACCGTTGCCGTGCCTGTGACATTAGGGATCATCGGAGTCCTCTGCGGATTTGGACCCATTGTCTTTTCAAGCTGTGCCATTGCCTTTGTTTCCAATTTATGGTTCCTGGGATGGCATGTGCATGACAACCTAGACGCATTCTACCACACCGTTGGTTGTCTCATTCTCTATGGATCGGGACTCACGCTTTATGCTACACAAGTGGGAGGACATCGCAAGTATTGGGGCTACCATGAATGGATGCATCTCCTTGTCACAATGGGGATCCTTGTCAACATTCGAGGGAACTGGACATACAGTTTCTACACGGAAGATATCTGCTCTATGGTACAACCATCGGGACATGTGTTTGCTGATCTGGATTGGATGGGTATTCAATGACTTGCTTAGGATTCATAACTTGAAGAGGGTGCCTTGGATATGAACAGTCGTCCGCACCTGCCTTTCATGAGCTCCTTCACAGAACAGTCAAAAAGTGTTCTTGTCCTGAGATACCAAAAAGAAATCAACTTGAAGACGGGGCCTCGGATATGAACAGTTGTCCGCGTCTGCCTTTCGCGAGCCCCTATAACGAACGGAGGAACGGCCCCAAGCCAGAAGAGTGTACTTGTTCCTGAGATACCAAAAAGAAATCAGGAACTTCTCATATACCATAGAATTTTTTAAATATAATCTTAGACTTTACCATTAATTAATATGAAGCAATCTGAGTGCTCAAAGCAACATCCACGCTCAGTCCAGTCCAGAAAAGACCAATGCTCAAACCAGCAGGAAGATTATCAATATCAATCCACCTACTACTAGTAGACTACCAGCCCAGCACTACGGCTTTGGATTCAATTTGCAATAGGTCTTCGGAAGAAAATTCGAGGGGCTCTTTCTGGTCGCCCGGCGCGAAATCGCTGTCAGTTTTTCGAGCTGATTCCGATTTGTTCTTCTGTAGATAATGTACCAAATCCCTACAGAGCAAGTGGGATTTTCTTCTGATGAGCACCGCAAATTTGTTTCCGGAGCCCTTTTGTCGACCGTCGACCATCCCCTTTGCATCGATTCGACTCGCTCGATTCTCATCATTCGATTCGATTCGATTATGCTCTGCATTTCATTCTACTAGCTAGTAGCTAGCTAGACATGTAGTACTGTAATGCATGTAAAGGTTTTAAGATAGAGGGCGGTGTCACCCTGTGCCCTTCTTTTTCCCACGACGAAGTGTGAGAGGAGGCGGTACGGTACGATACTCTACCAGTACACTGTTTAGGCGGTACGCACTATAAGATCGGTAGGAGCTCTACAATGGCGTACATCACAGGGCTGGTTCCTACCGTATTTAAACTTTTCTCAGTTGCTTCACTCTCTACGGTTCCGGGGAGCTCTCCTGGTAGTGTCCGAAAATGGTGGGGGGGGGGGGCACTACCAGGAGTTACTAGTACCCTGGTCTAAACTTACATATTTTAACGAGATGCAGGAGCCGCTTGCACAGTGGTAGCAATCTCCGTCACAGCCATTGATAGTGCACAGGTCACCATCATCACAGTCCACAGGTTCAATTGTGCAACCAGAAAGAGGGTCACAGCCATTGACAGTGCACAGGTCACCATCATCACAGTCCACAGCTACATTGATGCATCCAAGGGCAGAATCACAAGAATCCTCAGTGCACATATTGTCATCGTCGCAATCCACTGGCAAGGGCGAGTCCAAACACCCAGTGGCTTCACAAGCGCCATTATAGTTTTGAGTACATTTGTCTCCGTCATCACAGACAGCCTCGCAATTAGCATCGCAAGGTCCGAGCAAATCTCCATAGTTCTCAAGATGATTGTTGACTGCATTGTCGTTGACAGTGGTTGTGTGGAATCCACTCCGGTCGCCAGTGGGGATGTGGCAGATCTCAATACGGGTACCACCGTTACCACCGGTACATGAAAGGATTCCTTCACGAGAGAACAAATTGGTAAGGTTAGAACTGGAAGAAACAAACGAGAAAGAAGTGTTGTGCTCATATACTGGTATACAAAAAGCTGGACGTACTTTTGCCAGGCTCCCTTAAAGAACCAGCAGCCACTTGGGGTTGAGCAGCAAGACCAACAGTCAGCGCAAGAATGGCGGAAAGGAGCTTCATGGTGGCGAATTTATTTGTGAATCGAATCAGATTTTTCAAAGCTAGAGGATGGGTTTCAAAGCTGCTAAAGCTCGGATTGTGAGCTTTCAGCGTGCAATCAGCATTGAATCGATTTGAGCAAGCTTTGCAGATTAGATTGGTTTCCGGAATAAGGTTCCGGAATAAAAACGATTGTATTAGTGTGTCCCAAATAGTGAAGTTTCGACCTTTTATTTCATGTTTCGATTTTTGTTTCATGAAACTTTCTTTTTTGGGAACTCGAAACATGAAAATCGTAACATGAAATTTCGACTTTTTTCCACTCTGCTGTAAAAAAGTCGAAACATGAAATTTCGAGTTTCGACTTTCTTTTATGGTTGAGATATTTAAGGAGGACATCCAAAAGTGGACCGAAAGTCGAAACAGAAACTTGAAACGCGAAAAAGTTTATTTAGGACACACGGGCAAAAGCAATAATTTCGACCATGAAACATGAAATCGAAACTCGAAATTGAAACTCGAAACTTCACTTTTTAGGACACTGTATGTTGGAAAGTACAGCAACTAATTAGTACATGTAGAAAGGCACATGATCCGTGAATCAATCCACAATCATTAATTATTGCGCAGTTGTCCTTTGGGAATAAAACGCATCACCTCCCGTGTCTTTTCGCAATCCTTTTAAACCGCCTTCGACCTCCAATAATTGTCTATCGCAAAATACACTGCTTTATTTTTAAACAAATCGAAAAAGAGCTAACACCAAACCGATACTTTCGTTACTAATAATAGTAGAAGACGCGCAGGATCCATGAATCAACTATAGTTTATTTTGCAAGTCTCGGTAGTTTTGTCTTTGGATAGAAAGGACACCTTAATTAAAGACTACCAGGTAATCACGCGTGAAGTGACCTCGCTTTCGGTTCAGCTCCTCAGTCCTCAGCTTCTGGCAATAGCTACGGTTGTGGTCGTTCTAGGTCACCGGTCCATTCGCTTCTACTAAACGCCACAGTCGTCTCGCACGTATCTCTGATCGGCCCAGGTGCACCTCCTCAGGCTTAGTTCCGCCGTTCCGCCATCCGTCATCCTCGAGTATCGAATCATTGGATTGAATGCATCGAATCATTCCTTCATACTGACAAAACAATTTGATAGTTAAGGCCGCGAAGTTGTATTTGTAGGCATTCTTTGGATTGCGATGCATATCCTGATCTCTTGGTTCGTTGGTACGGATTTGTGTTCCATCACAGATTGCTCCAAGCCTAACGGGCGACTCAGATGGGCACTTGATCTTGTAGCTTTTCAGCTGTCAATCCGACGGACGAAATATCAAGTCTGGTCTCACACATTGTCATAGTTTCCTCCGAATTGGGCATTCCTGACATCCTCAATCTCGTACAATCCAAGGAAATTGTTCCCCAAACATGAAAGAACGAAAAGACTTCTTCAACTTGGCCTCTCCACGGTCATGATATCACCAACAAGTTGCGTATCGCGCCATACACAAGCAAGGTGCACTGGACCTCTGTGGAAACATCATTCGTGGTAAAATACTTAGGCGACGATACACCGAGGCATGGGAGACGATCAAAATGATTTAAGAGACGAAAGCAATCGTCTCCTATATTAAGGAGACGATTCATTAGGAGACATTCCATTTAGGAGACGATCGTTTCAAAATAGGAGACGATCTAAAAGGTTTAGGAGACGATATCATACAGTTTACATGGTGCACTTAGGAGACGATCCGTTGAGAATAGGAGACAATCCGTTGAAAATAGGAGACGATTTAAGAGGAGACGAAAGATTTAAGAGACGATCCGTTTCGTCTCCTATTTTTAGGAGACGAAATCCATTAAATAGGAGACGATCAAAAGGATTTAGGAGACGATCGGTAGCACAACTCAAGTTTCCACAGAGGTCCTGAGCGCCTTCCAAAATGAGACAGTCTCACATAAAGACTTGCTGTCTCCAATTAGAGACCGCTGTCTCAACTGTCTCCAACTTGAGACTGTTTTGAGGGAGATTAGGGATAATAATGTGCAATGGCTTCATACTAAATGTTGTTTTACCCCATTTCTTTCGACGTCTTTATGCAGTTGTCTTAGAACATGGAATCATGCCTACATGTCATGTACTTTTGAAGCTGGCAAACGAATTCACTCCCAACTTGGCGGGCTGGTTGGCGCTGGCCAGATCTCTATCCGCACAATACTGTAGGTTCAGCCATGCAGGCACCCGTACGACTGTACCGGTACCACCAGGAAGGCAAGCTTTCTTGAGGAGACGAGTTTTACCACTCGATGTGCTACGAGAGCTGGTAGATGGCTGGCTACCAGGTACTAGTAGCTAGCTAGCCAGCTAGTGGAGTGCCAGTAGCTATAAAAGAACGTAGCCTAGAAGAAAAGTAATTGCCAGGGGTCTGACTGACGGTACCCACGACCATGTTTGTAAGAAATGACCTGCTTTTGGGCTCGTGGTGAATCCATGATGACCAAACTCCAGATATAGGATAGGTACCAGTGTACCGTACGGTACCATAGTACCAGCAGAGTGAAAGCAAGCATGAGCAAGTAGCAGGGTCACTTTACGGACAATGTCGCTATCGGTGGCTACTGTATTAGTACCTGCTCATGGTTGCAGTTACACAGCCAAAGTGTGGTTGTCCAGTAGTTTTCGCCATGGCTCGGTATCGTACCACCAAGGCCGATGCAACCACGAGAAAGCAACAGGGCCACTATCCCTACACCCTATCGGTGCAACGCCCTACCTCGTACCAGCTATTAATAGTATGGCTGGGACAGGGGGTAGACAGCAATACAGACACATTGTTGCAGTCTCACCGTACCGTGCGTACGTGCGTAGCGTAATCGTTGTGAGTGTACCATTCACCATAGCTGCACCATGTACCATGTACGATCAAGTAAGAAGTGGCATCCAAAGCTTACTGTATCAGTCCAGCAGCATAAGTAGGACACTTCCACTTCCAAGTTGAATTTCAGTGGTATGACTCGGAAAAGCCAGCATCGAAAGATGGTGTCTTTTATCACTGGTACCCGTCAAAAGTTTTGAATTCGCTCCGCTCACAAATATTTCAGGAGCAGCTCTCACAAATTCAACAACACAAACACAACACAACAAAAACCAAACAAGAAGATGGTATTTCACAAGAACTATGCCGATGGAACTCCAAGACCACTGTGTCGAGGATGGCTGCATGGGATGGGAGCAATGACGTATCTCCCTCTAGTATGTGTTCATTGGAACGACATTCCCACCCCAGCATTGCCCGCTGTCATTGCCATTGCCTTTGTTTTCATAATGTCCAGTCTGGTGCACTTGGTTCCCTGGAAGTCTGAAGCACTGCTGGAAGCCATTACTCGAGTTGACAAATCCTGTATTCTGGCTGTCTGCGGGGCTTCCTTCATGGGATTTCAGCTAGTGGAGAGTGAAGCGTGTAAGCCGGATTTCTTGCTGTCAGTAGGTACCGTTGCCGTGCCTGTGACATTAGGGATCATCGGAGTCCTCTGTGGATTTGGACCCATTGTCTTTTCAAGCTGTGCCATTGCCTTTGTTTCCAATTTATGGTTCCTGGGATGGCATGTGCATGACAACCTAGACGCATTCTACCACACCGTTGGTTGTCTCATTCTCTATGGATCGGGACTCACACTTTATGCTACACAAGTGGGAGGACATCGCAAGTATTGGGGCTACCATGAATGGATGCATCTCCTTGTCACAATGGGGATCCTTGTCAACATTCGTGGAAACTGGACATACAGTTTGTACATGGAAGATATCTGCTCTGCTGCCAGTGCTGCTGTGGGTTCCATGGTACAACCACCGGGACATCTGTTTGCTGATTTGGATTGGATGGGTATTCAATGACTTGCTTAGGATTCATAACTTGCTTCATAACTTGAAGAGGGGGGCTTGGATATGCACAGTCGTCCACGGAGGAACGGCCCCAAGCCAGAAGAGTGTCCTTGTTCCTGAGATACCAAAAAGAAATCAGGAACTTTCCCATAATCCATAGAAAATATATGAATAAATCGTACTTGATGTAATGATAGACTTTTACTACACGGGTATGGTACCCGTAAGAAGCAATCTAAGTATTCAGCTCAAAGCAAAGTACCTATAAAATCAATACTAGCTGGCTGGCTAGTTATGATAGCCTTTTGATTCTGCTCAAAGCAACGTCCTCCCTGGTGCCAGCATGCTTAGTACATGGCATGCCAGGACGATGCATGGCAAACCTGCAAGGTGGCAAACGACTTCACCGGCATCTCGAAAGCCAGGTTGGTGGCTGCAGCCTGATCCCTATTTTGTTGGTCATTGTTCGTGCCAGGAGTGACTTTCGGGGCCAAATTCTCGCCGTTTGCCAACGACACCCACGCACCGCCACAGTCTCATTATTGTGGATGGAGCTTGCTGCTAAGGAGGCTCTTGGTACCGGTATATGCTTGTCTATTGCTAGTTGCTGTGGAACTGCAGGATCGGACTAGCTAGTGAAAGAGCGTCTTCCACAGTTGCTACACCAACCTACCAGCCAGCTGCTCTATAGCTAAAGGCTGCAAGATCCTAGCTAGCCAGAGGTAGCTAGTGGGAGCTCATAAGAATGATCCCAATCCGGACGACCAATCTGAGCCAGAGGCTGCACGAGGAGCTTGGCGATGTTGCTAATGCTAGGGAGGATCAGTCAGTTTCAGTTTCCCCATTTGACGAGAGAATGGAAGACCAAGAAAACGAAGAATTCTTTCGCTCTGTCCAGCCGCACCCAGTGAATTCGCGTGGCTCTACCTTGGCTTCAGGATCTAGCTATAGTGGTGCTACTAGTAGTAGCCAACCAATTGCAAGAGAACCGCAGCCGCTAAAGGTGGAGAGTGTCAAGAAGTACAAGGAGCATGCAGCTGAGCTAGCTAAAGGGAAGCAGCAGCAACAGAAACAAACCAAGGAACAAGCTTTACAAGCCTGTGAAAGAGCCCCAAGACTCGTACCCGTGACTGAAACTGGGGATGATGCCAAGCACAAGCCCTCCGTCTCCGTGCAAGCCCCATCTAGTAGTGCTGGGAGGTCTCCAGAAGAACATCGTGGTGAAAAGAGGTTGCAGGAGGATATTTATAGCTTGATCTATACTGCCAACCTATGCAGTCAAGCATTTGCCTTTGCTTGTTTTGTATTTGTGTTTCAAGAAACTCTCCTGCTGCTCATTTTGTTCGATGAAGTTGATTTCTGGGATGGAGATGGCAACGTGTGGGAAATTCCACCTGGTGTTCCTGTACGAGTCAATGTGGCACAAGCCATCAGCATGATACTCATTTTGTCGTCCATGCTGGGAGACTCGGGGGACTTACCCAATGGTGTCATCCGACTCGTCAATGGATATCACGTCAATGTTTTAGTCAAAAACCCTCATGCCAGTTTTGGAAAGTGGTTTGTTGCAGGAGTCGTACAGGCGTCGGTCGGCTTGACCATGACTGTGGTTCTCTTCTTTCTCGTTATGCAGTCCACCACAGTCCTCGGTCTTACACTCAATTTTGCGGCTCTCAGCTTTGTCATGGACATTGACAATATTACATTTCAAATGGGCAAGGAAGGATTCCTTACACGAAACATACAGAAAGCCTGTCAGCGGGTGGAACATCATTGGGTGCCAAACTGGAATGCAAAGAGAACAAGAATCTGCCAAAATCTAATGGTTGTCATTTTGCTCGTCGCCCTTTTTGTGCCCTATGGATTTCTGGTAAATGCACAGTGGAATGGTAAGTTGAGCTGCAGGGGCAATCTGCCTTTCAGGGCATACACTGCATAGTCGGGTCTCAACTCTCCATTGACTTTCCATCCACAGCAAAATACGTGTGCTCAAAAATATTCATCCAATTTAAGGATGAGGGCATTCCCTACTTGTCCTATTACACCGGAAACTTCTACTTGTACCAGATGGAGAACACCATCTTTGGTGGAATCAAAGCTCGAATCGATTCTCGGGTCTACTTTTTGGACGAGACAGAGACATTGAAATTGGCATATTGCAACAAGGAGCTCGCATGGACTATTTCCCTTGCAGAAGTTAACGATCACTGCCTTTATCTCTACAAATCCACATCTCCTACGACTACGTTTGACGTGACAACAATCGGATCCATGCCGTGGGTATCTTGGAGTTTTGAACAAAGACGAACCACTCCCGTAGACCTCTACCTTACTTGCAACGATTGCGATGATGGCCCTCGTGGGAATTGCCACGGTCACAATGGGCAATGCATCGAAAACGAATGCCGATGTTACGATAACAACACAGGAATTGCTTGCGAACAGATTTTGCCGGGGTGTGAACGGCTCCGGCTGGATGCTCGGTTCAATCGTTTTCCTTTCGAAGCAGGCGCCTCGTTTTCGGATTTCTTTGAGATACTCCGCTTTCCGGAGGATGGAAAAATCTTCCTGGCCAATGAACGACCGGTTTACGTATCTTATTACTCTGTCGCTCCTGGCAACGCTACAGGACGCAGCAACCTCACTGACACTGGCACTGCCAGTAGTGAATTGGATGGTAGGGGTGTTGATATACTCTTTTTCAATGGCAGGAGATGTAAGTGTCGCTGGGAGCTGGACCGCTCGTTACGTTATGACGCAAATTTCTCAATTCTTGAGTGCTCGTTTTTTCGTAGGGGTGATACTTGCAAGGTACGTGTAGGAGGGCGTGGGTTAGTTGCTTTCATTCCAATCCTGATGCTGGGAGCTCAACCCTTTCCTCTTTGACGTCGTGTTGACTTGATTCTATAGGGACCATCCACATTTTATCAATAAACACAGCAATCGGCATCTCCGTGAGATTGGCTCCGGGGAGGACAGTCGTCTTTATTCGGTGTACGAAGGACAAGAAAACTACGACAACAATATGCATCCTCGTGAACGTCGTCTGCACGAGGACGATCCGCATGATGGCGCCATGACGGTTGAGTATGCAATGATGGACGTTTTCGGAACCGAAAACGAATTTGACGAAAAGGTGCTTCCACTAGTGCTGAACTTGACGGAGTTATTGGGGATTACTTACGAACGACCAATCGACGACGTGAAGAAGTATTTCTACCGTCCCTACTTTTTCAGTGCTCCCGTTGAGCCGTTGACTGCCAACGACGTGCTTGACCCTGTCGGCTTGGACTGGTACCGTTCGTACCGCGCATCGTCACATCTCATGTCGCAATGGAGCCACGATGGATCACAAGCATTGGGTACTGTCTTCTTGTGCGGTGATTGTCATTGGTGGAGCAACCGTTGCATGAATGCTGGCTTCTGCAACGAAACAACTAGTACTTGTGAGTGCGCCGAGTACTATGGCGGAGCGCTTTGTGAACGGCCACTGACGTGCCATGAGAAGGGCTCCTGCGAAAACGGCGGCACTTGCGAAGCCTGGAAAGACTACTGCACTTGCCCAGGTAATTTCTTTGGCAGCTTGTGCCAGTACGACGGCTTGAAGAATTTTGCAGAAATCCCACCGGTACCAAATTAATGAAAGGTGGTTCAATCTACAACTCGAGTATCTTGCGATGCTCACATTCGATTTGAGTCAAAATGACGTGCCTTTTGAATTTCGAGAACCAAATCATTCGATCCGTACCTTACATCATGATACCGGCATGGCTTCGGAGTTGATATTTTGTTCCATACACTACGCTAGCAGGAGGAACCGTAGCGTGGCCTTTCTTGGGGCATTCATTGACAATTCATGAACGAAGCTCTTAGGTGAATCAGCCTGCAAACTTGCAACTGATAAATGTATCAATAGTCTGTACGTGAACAATACATGTGCTCGCTGCTTTCCTTTTGTTCTGCTTGTAGAAGTTTCCCCTTTCTGGAAAGCGTCAGAAGCAGGGACGAGCTCAACCGCTAGCTACTAGACAGAATCATACACGAGTCGCCGTGTGGCTACGCATATTTATTATAGAACCTAACAAGGACAATCCACGTGCCAGACGTTGGCAGTCCTACCGGTACATCTAGCTAGCTAGTAGATAGTTATTCATTCTATGCACATCCTCTGGCAAGCGGAGTTTTGAAATCTCTCATGTGATACCAGGCATTGGCCCCATATTTGATCCCTTTTAGGACGGGGAGTGCTTGATGTACCGTGCGAGCGTCCATGCTATTGGGGGCTTCATTGAGAACCGACGGCCAAAGCAATGCTCGACCTCGTTTGGGCATGACAGTGAGATCCATTTGTGGAAAATTGGTACCGCCTCCTTCTTCCACATCACTGAGGTAGAGATACATGGTAAGGATACGGACTCCTTGCATGCGACTTTTTTCTTCGAATATATAATCAATGTGAGGTTTGTAGTATTGTTGGGGTTCATATTTGAGAATTTGCAAGTTTTCAGCGTGTTTGTCGTGTATTTGTGTCACGTGGTACATTTTTTGCAGCACTCTTTGAACAATGGGATCCTCGTAGCAGGGTCTCTTGCACCAAGTATTTTCAGAGGTTCTGTCTTCATCGAAGCGGCGCGTGAAGGATCCATCTTGGCTGGCTTTGCCCACATCACTTGCTGAGCGGTTGAATCCAGCCTGATGTCCCAGCCTCACGATTTGTTCTGTTTCTTGTTGCGTCAGGAAGTTGTCTAAAGTGACGACCCAAAATCCAAGGTTATAAGTGGCAGTCTCTTCAGTATCCCCATTGGCATAAGTTGGTCGTTGAAGCACTGTGGGTTGGTGAAGTTCCTGGATGGTTGGATCAGTGGTGATCCTTCAAAAGGGTATTGTAGTGCATGTCAGGACCCACTTCAAACAAATTAACACAATGAGTATACAGGAGCTCTTTGTTTGACATGATCCACTTAGCTTACCTTTGAAACATTTTGTCTAAATCTCCAGGTCTCCAAGCTACCTCGTCTTCTTGAATGTTGGTGGAATCAACGGGGCACTTCGTTTCATGGTGCAAGACTTCACAGCTCTTGCACACAATGGGGCAATGGTGTTTCATGTATGCTGCGTTTTTTTCACATTCCCCCAGTGCAGCCCAAAGTGCGCAATTTTCGTGTTGGTTTTTGCACAGTTCCACCACGGGGGCATAGAAGGGGTCCCGTTTGACCCAGTCTTCGAAGTAGTTGCGTCCCTCGTGGATGACGGCAAGGATCTCTTGAGGATAGCGAACATCAACAGTTTGGGGAACGCCCAGGTCAGCTCCTGCTACATTCATAATGGTAATATCCACATCGTCGCCTGGAATGGGAGTCTCGAATCCCGTAGAGGCTGCACCAGTGCTACTACTACGGCCGTCATTGGTAACAGTCGCAGTGGCAACGGTGGGATCCGCATGTGTGACTGACTTGCGCTCAACCAGGAGAATCAGCACGGCTTGGATAATCAAGTGCTGCTTCATATTATCATACATGTAGTCTTGATCGAATCAACAATAGGAAAGAAGATAGCTAGCTATTATTGCAGCAGTCGATGCCTTCAAGCTACGATGATAGCAACTACAGTAGCCCCTTGCTGTTGTTCTGATAGTTGCTACAGTATGCTGTTGTTGCGTTGGGAATACGTAGCAGCTAGTGACTTGTTTGGGAATGGCAAGTCACACCAGAAAAAAAGTGACATTCATTAACGCTTAGAAATCGCCTGCCTATCCGATTTTCTACGGTATGCGTCATACATTTGGCTACGTAGTTTTGGCTGGAGGTGCGTGAAAGTAACAATGCCGTTGCTCAAACCTCAAATCATCTCTCCAACTTTTTCCCTCGACAAAAAGGGATCTTGAGAAGGGAGACTGGTTGACAATTGAGACAATGGAATATCTACAAGCAAAATGGGGGATTGGCCATTGCCACTACATCATTCCACCGAAACTTTGACGGGAGCCCACCAAGTTGAGGCCGAGAGGTCCTCCTCGAGATCTTTGTTTTCTACTGCATGTATACTGCGTCCAAGAATAATGCAATGATACGCACGTACACCAGTGTTTCTGCTTGTGCCGTGTTAACATTTCTCGTGGTGTTGTTTGTGGGCGGTCACATCTTTCTAAGTCATGCAGGTGCTGGGCTACGAGTATCACAGCCAAAACAATCGCCACCATCTGAGGTTGCACTGGAAGAACGACTTTTGCAAATGCACATGGTGATCCCGGCTTTCAGCCGGGACCAACTTTTGCGCACTTTTGCCAAACGACTTCGACCGGCCATGGAAGAATACAGGAACATTACGGCACACAATATGACACGCATTGGAACCTTTCGTCTCATTGTCACACGATACGGAGTGCGAGAAAAACAAAACTCAAGACTACTAAGACAGGAACTCTCAGTTCTGTCGGGATTAACCATGAAGCAAGTTGTTTTTGTATCTCTCAAAAACTCCACCTCCACCTTCAATAGGGCACATTCTGTCAATCTCCTTCTACGAGCAGCCTGCCACGAGGAAAATTGCATTGTTTCCCGAATCGATGTAGACATGCAAATCAAGGCCTCATTCTTCATCAATAGCCAGAACGAAGTGGTCTCGGGGGAAACAATATACTTCCCCATCGTCTGGTCATCCTATCACCCAAAGTCTCCCGAATTGGTGCAATGGCATTGGGACATACAAACAGTGTCCAACAATCTTCCCCGACAGACCATGGACGACTATTCCGAGCACAAGGGACACTGGAGAGATTACGGGACGGGCATGTGGGCCATTGGGGGACCCGATGCTAAAATTATGAGACTCAATGAAGTCTTTAAAGGTAAGAACGGTGGGGCATGGGGGGATAGCAAGCGTTGCTCCCTGTTTTTTTGGTATCTGACCAGACCCAAAAATACATAGGTTGGGGAGGTGAAGATACAGACTTTTATCATCGAGTCAAGCAGCAACGCAAAGTCATTAGGATGAGAGAAAAGGGGTTGATTCATGTATGGCATCCTAAAATGTGTACTCGTGGTGTCACAGTCTTCACCGATCAACAAGTGGACGAATGCAACTATTCCCGAAAGGGAGAAATTGGAAGTGAACTGGGAAGAGAACTCATGGTCAAATGGAATACACAGCACATAGATGATGAAGATTCCGGAGCAACACATAAGAACGACACCCGAATACATGCAGTGTGGCGGGCATAGGAGAAAGACATGATCGTTGTACGGTACCCTCTAACTAGCTAGCTTGGTACCAGTACCGGTAGGGTAGTATCTGCACTCCTTCGTAACGTGATTTGCTGGCTGTAGCTCGGTTGCGAGGAATGCACTTGCGATCAGTGCGAAAGCAGACGAGATTGCCGCAAAATGTATCAGTGGAGGATGTATCAGGGCTAAATTTGAATGGGCAGACTCACTCAAGCTACTTTAGTACAGAAGAGCTGAAGAGTCGAGTCCTTCGTCCGTTTTGAATCTTGCTAAAAGTCTATGATGACCACGGCGTGGAGCGTGGATGCACGAAGAAAAGAGTTGTTTGACGGAAGCTATGGCAGTCCCGAGCTTCTCTTTAGTTAGGGACTGACGTACCATTGACCACGTCATGGGTTATCTGTGACATCCGCACTCCAAAGATTTTCTTTCTTTCGTCCTCCTCTCATTTTTTCCCTCTCGACCCTCGGATTCGATTCGATCAGCAGCAGCAGCAATCAGCAGATTTTATTCCTACATTGTTGCAGAGAAAACAAAACAAAAAGACAAGACCATGATGATGTCCCGTATTTGCCCTTCCTCTTCTGTTCTGATTTTGCTATTGGCTGTTTGCACTTCTTGCAGCGCCTTTCAAGTATCTCTTCGTCCCTTAACCGTTAGAACGTCGAGATCAGGGTTCCTTCAATCGACGTCATTGTCGTCGACCGTGGACGTTTCTACAAACGCTGCCCGCCAGTACAACGGTTTCGTGGAATGGGCGAGTTACTACGGCGTGCTTCAGGAGAACTTTCAGATTTCGGAAGCCGTGAATCCCCACAATGGCGGTACCGAGTGGAACGTGGTCGCGGGACTGCCTGCTGGAGCGGGATCTCGAGCTCTGTTCGTGCCGGCCATGTTGCGAATTACGTCCATGCGAGCTCGTCAGGAAGAATTTGCCGCCTTGGAAGGAGCCATCAGTCAGTACATTGATGCGACCAACAGCAACGGCGACATCAATTTGGCCTGTCATTTCTACCTATTTCTCAAGGTGCTGCAGGAATACGACCTCAAGGACCAATCCCCGTATGTCGCATGGTTGGACGCGCTGCCTCGCAAATTCTCCACGGCCTTGGAATTCGATCCTCTCGAAATGGACTGCTTGCCGCCCTTTGTCAAGTATTTGGCAAATCAAGACAGACAAAATTACGACCTCTTCTTGGAAACAGCACAACAGCTAGACACACCCACCATTACAGATGCCACCAAGTACAACACGGAAATCACCAAATGGGCGTTCAATGTCGTCTTTAGCAGAGCCAGAGCGGCCTTTGGAGAAGCAGAAATCATTCCCATGTCGGACATGCTCAACCATGCCGCACAGCCAAATGTCGATGTTCAGTACGACAATGAAGGCAATGTGCATGTCACGTTCCTGAGAGATGTACAGCAAGGAGAAGAACTATTCAAGTGCTACGGTCAGCCCACAAATCCATCTCGATTTTTGGCAACCTATGGATTCTTTGATACTTCTCCTCCTGCTACCTACTGCAAACTCATGTCGGGAAAGAAACTCACTCCCGAACTCAAAGACCTGGGATTTGTTTACGAGCGAATGGTATTCTACCCCGAAAATGGAGGCATTGCCGAAGAGGTTTGGGATGTCATGCTATACACCATTCTGGCAAACATTGATCCGGCCGTTCAGCAACAATTCTACAATGCGCACATGCAGGGAGACTTCCAAACCAAACAACAACTACAGGATTTCTACAGACCTCAAACCGGACAGGCTTTGCTCAATCATGTCGACGAAATGCTCAACGAGCTAGCCATGTGTGCACAGAAAATTGATCAGGCTGGACCCGGACACGAAAATCTTGTCATGATTCGTCAACACAATGATTTTGTACGAGAAACGTTCCTCAAGGTACGCAGCAACCTCGAACAGATTGGAGCTCAATACCAATAAACAAACAAGAAAACTGGAGCGAAAGTAAGTAACTAACAGAAGACTAATTATCTAATCTATTCTAAGTAAACTTACTTGTCATTCGTAATCACGTCACTGTGATGCTGTTATGGTAGCTCGATCTCATCGTACCAGTCTGCACACAAAAGGAGGCAAGAGAAACGGAGGAAAGTATCAAGTAGCACTCTACTTGCTATGCAATGCCCTGCAGACAGCGCTATCATAGTTGAGTTCACAGCTACAACCAGCCAGACAGGGGCCCAGACACAGCACAGGCTGCACATCCTCTCCATGCCGTACAGCTGCTGAATGGGGGAATGATCATGGCCTGCTGGCTGCTTGATGCTTGCTAGCTATTTGGGTTGTGGCTGGCTGCCTTTAAAAAGACAAGTGTATTCTAAAGTAGCCCACCTTTTGCTCACGGCCAGCCACTGAATACGGGGCTAGATGGTTGCACCCCCACCATACCGGTACACCTCCCTCTCAAGTCAACCGTTTCATCAGAGGCCGTTGGGTGCGTCTTCCACGTTCCACGCTCAACAAAAATTTCCTGCCAGTATCTATAGATTTTGCAACAGCGACAGCATCAGCCGTTGCTGCTCTCATTACTTCCATGTCGCGCTACCTCTGCTTGTGTCATTTGTCAACATACTTTACTACTAGGCTACTAGGTTGTTGGCTGTAACAATCTTATTGTTTTGACAATGGCATCTCCCCCTACCTCGGAGCAGCGCTCGTACAAGCAAGCTACGGGACGTTTCAAGCTTCTCTGTGCCTTCGATGCTGCGTTTCCAAGTATCCATACTGGTAGCTCGAAAGCCTCGAATTCGGAGAAGGAAGAGCAGCTTGCTCGAGCCAAAATCTTGAAGACTCTCGTATCGAATGCACGGGCAAAGCGTGATCCCAAGTACCAAACGATACACTTGGAAAATCCAAAAATCCAAGTCTACGTTGCAACCAACGAAGCGGCGATGACTCTGCTGGAGACGGTAGGTTTCACCAAGAGCAACGACAATGGCAACAGCCTTATCTACAAGCCAACGGAAACATCCCATTTCCAGTTTGCAAGTCGATTGCAGTCCATGCTTGATGGCAAAATTGACCAACTGCGGAAGGCTTCATTGGACACTGCCACCAAGGAGCAAAAGAAACACAAATCTGCAGCCAAGGCAAGCAAGAAAGATGCCAAGATTGTGCGCAAGACTCAGGTACGCTTGTACCACGAAGATCGGGAGCGCCAACGAATGTACGGGCCAAACGGGGGACGCAAGCTCGGGTCGTCCTCCTAGAGACAAATACACCGTACCGGTGCTTTGGTGCTTTCCTCCGAGAGGGGTATCGTGTGATGATGTGCCAGCTGGAAATGGTACAGTGTCAGATTCGCAGGCATCCATTGAACTGACCTCAGCTGCTTGATGTCCCTGATGAACCTGTCAAAGGATGTACTGGTTCTCTATAATTGATTGTCTCTTTGCACGCCTATAGAAAGTACGCACTGTGCTTGTAGGTCGGTCTCGAACTATGGCAGATAATGCCTAGTACCCCGACGTCAAGAAGATCTGCTATTTTAGTAATTGTATAGCTACAGGCCCCAAAGGAATACGTGCACTGTAGCTTGTAGATAGGCCTCGAACCAGATAGTTCCAAGTACAGTGTACTGCGACATCAAGAAGATCCAAATATTTGCTACTGGGCGATGACATTCTCTTCTGATAAATTGTCTTCATGTCTTCATAGATTGTGCTCCTGTTGTTGAAGGCAAATCAGATGCTTGAACACCAAATGTTAGGGGGCATTGTCCTTGTATGCTGTTGGCTGTTGGCAGCTTTTCATTCGTTTCCTCGTTCATCAACCCAAACAATGCAGGGAAACGGAGTCTCAACTGAGCCCCCTCCTTTCTGAATCCTTCTTCAAGTGGCCTGTTTGGCCAGTGCAACTCCCTTCTCTTCGGCGCCAATAGAAAACAGAACTGCCATCAAACAGTTTCTTTACCGCTTCAGTTAAGAAGAAACCCGCCATGACCTTGTGATGAGTGATGAGTCTCATCACAGACAATTTCAGTGAACAGCTTTCCAAGAGTGTCATTCATCCTGTTTTTGTCCTGTCCACAAAGCCCAATAGACTACTTGCCCTTTGTTGTAGGAAGAGGTATAATCCAGTCATCCAAACCGAAAAACCTGGCCCATTCCCGAGAGGCTCAAAAGGCCCGAAACATTGACGCATGCCTGCATAAGATGGCAGTGGAAAATCGGATTTGTTCTTACTATCTCCGTCAAAAAGCTGTCAGACTACTGAGACCATCACGTGTTTCTGACTGGATCCTCCGTTTTTGTGTTGTATTTTGACGGAGTTTCGAAGAGTTTTCCCGAGATCACTTTGTGCCTTGGCACTTGCAGGTCCGATTGATCATTTTTTCGTGACTTCGTAACGTAATAATTAACTCGTGATTGTAGCGTTTGTAAATGTCACAGCGGGTAAAAAAGGATTTGAGAAGGTGGTGGCTTTGAGTTTTATTTAAAAGGCAAGAGTTTTGTCTGAGCATGTGACGAGTCGAGTCGAGTCATTCCAGGTTGTGTTTTTGAGAGGACATTCCTTCGCCGTAATTAATTTGACCCTCTGCTCTCATTGGCGTTGAGTCTACACGTCTGCACGCTACTAGTACGGTACGATCTACTGTACACATCAACTTCCGAAGGAATTTGCTTCCGCGAAATCAAAACTTATCTTTATTCCTCAAACTTTTAGGCAATACAAAAGACAAAGATCGTATCATTTCAAAGCTACTACAGCTAAGCGATCCAACAGATACATCGACCATGACGTTCAAGACAGGCAGCAAGAAGAGTGAAGAGATTGATGCTGCGAGCAAATTAGAGGAAAACCTTCTCGAAGGTATCACCCACCCAGGCTTGCATGGTACGTCACCTTGTGTAGCGTCAGTACTGATGCCATGGCCAGATTGATTCTGCAGGAACTTTTTGTAAAGCTTTGAACTATTTTAAAATAACCTTACTTGTTGCGTATTTTATTTTTATTACAATCAGATTGTCTGTGCGGCCGAGGTGGCCACGCCACAAATCATCCTGGGAACGTTCAGTTTCGAATGCTGGTGAATCAATACAAGGAATTCTACTTGGGTCTCTCACGGTGCGGCAAGCTCCAAGTGGCAGCAGAAGTGGTGCGACTATGGAGAGCACAAACTCCTGCAGGTCGCTTCCTCGCCATGACGGACCCCAGCCAGAAGGAACAGTCCACTTGGCACGATATTGGGGACAAGGAAGCCCTCAAGAAAACCACTCAGTGCCTCAGAGAGAGAATCCCAGCTCATCAGAGAGCTCGTACTCTTAAGGCTCCCATCAAGCCCACCAGTGCCCTCAACATCAGAGAAGAGCTACTCAAGAAAATACAGCACCATGAAGCTCAGCAGCAGCAGCCATCTGCATCTGCTCCTCCGACACAAGCTCAGTCTTTGGCACAAGCCCTCACTACATGTACCAACAGTGGGGCGATGGTCCCTGAATCCAGTTCCAATACTGGCACTGGCACTCCAACTTCATCTGCATCCGGGCTCTGGGCGCAAACACAGCTAAACTTACTCATGAATGATGAATGCACTCAGCAGGAGCTACAAACGGCACAGGCACCTGTTACAAGTACATGTACACAAATGCAAAGGCAAACAGACACCGTTACGGGTCCAACCCCCCTTGTTACTCAAGAGAATCGGGCTCAAGTGCAGCCTAATCTACATGCCATCCTGGGAGGTCTATTCCAGCAAATACCAAGGCAAAACAATCAAGTGGCCAGCACAAACGCAAACAATTCTGCCCCGGTTCCTGCAAGAAGCCGATTGTCCCAACAGCAAGTGTCTGCCTCTTCCGCTCCATTCCCTCCCCCCATGCCCAAGGGCAACCGGTTCGCGGCAACATCAAGGACGCAATCCCTCAGCAGGGAAACGTCATGGGCTGGCGTCAGTGTCGGATCCTGGCATGATTCCGACGAACTGCCATTTCAAGCATGGGAAGAACTCATGGAACATGATGCTACCACGGCTGCCTCCATTATGGGAATCGCACCTTCGCCAGTTTCCACCACGGCTTCAGAGGAGTCCTCCGCACATCATGAAAAAACGGATCAAGTCACAGCCGTTGTCCCTTCCAGCTTCGCCTCCACTTCAGCAGACTCGGCTGCTGCTACCAGTACCACAGACGCAATCCCTTCGACTGCCAACCTCACGCACAACGTATTTGGACTCGGTGCACAATGGCGCTACCGAAGATCCTCTTCAGCCGAGAAGAATGTTCCAACAAGACAACCGCAAGCCACAGCAGCACACTGGACACACTCTCTGACTTCTATGGATGGTTCATATACTATGATCTCACGGCAAACCAATCATTGAATCTCTTTTCATTTTCGTTTTTAAAAAAAGCATCTAAAGTAATACACGCAAGCGCATCTATCTACCATATGTAGTGTTCGGGGTGCGGTGGCTAGATCCGGGAGCGGATGAAGGAGAGCCACAGTCTCGTCCATCCATGCAGCCATGCAGCACTCTAAACCGTCCTTACGTTCCTTCCACACGGTACCTTCTGCATGATAATCAGCACTAAAGACTCGGTTGCGTATCAACGATCACTGGCTGCGTCTAGTATAGGCATAGCTGTATACTAACTGGGCAGGGAGGGCATCTAGGAAGCCTCTGCTACCGGTATCTACAAACGGGCGCACGATTTATTGATGTTTACTGTACAGCTTCGAAACAAAAGGCAAGATCAAACTCTTCCCCGTCTGCCAGTTGCAGGTCTTCTGCGATCTCGGTTCGTACTTCTCCGGCTGTCGTCTCCCCGACGACGGCATTTTGTGTTGAGCATTGCTGCGGGTCAGCAATGTGCTCGGCCTCGTCAACGCCTCTGCGTTTACCATGATTCGCTTTGAAGCTGCATTTGTACCGAGCAATGTCAAGCTTTTTACGGCCGTCGCAAAAAGCTCTCTTGTCGCCGTGGTAACACGTGTGGATGCATCTCGCAATCTTGAAGACTCGCTTCATATGACTCTTGGCTCCCTCGTCTTTGACCTTCCCGCGGTTGCCAGCTTCGCACTGGTACAATTCGAGGATTAGATCCACCTTCTTGGAGACTGTCCGCGACTTTCCAATCTTTCGCTGGAACCGCTTCACATTGATTTCAGACTCATTCAAGGCGGCGTCGTCGCCTTTCGGGGTCTTCTTCGCTATCGACATTTTGGACGAAGCTTTGGCGTTGTCGTCGGCGTCGTCCTTGGCATCGGAAGGTGCCGTCGAGATATCGCTGGGCGATGGCCGGATCCTCGTAGAAGTGATCCTCTCGTTTTCAACAGTTCCAGTTCTGCGCGATTGCAGACATGGACTAACATTGTCTGCAGGACTCTGATGCGGCAAGCTGCCGCTTCGTGGATAGCATGGAGTTGCGGTGGGGCCCAATCTCTGAACGCAGGACGGCGGTTGGTCACGGCTCTCATTGGTTGTGTTACCGGTAGTGCTACTGGCTGGGTTGGCTGTCGAAGGGGCTGTGGTCTGGGCTGTGCTTCCCTTGGAGTAGATTGGAAACGATGATGTACCAGTATCGGTGGCACTTATCGCTGAAGTCGTAGATGGATGGTCTAATCGAGTTTGCTTGACGGTTCGAGTTTCTGTGCTGCTGCCTGTAGTGGTGTCGTTGGATCTGTTTCTCTTGGCTTGTCGAGCACTACCTTCTGGGCCTTCCGGGCTGATTATGCATCTTGTCTCATCTCTAGATCTGTAAGTGTCGGCTACAAGTTGCTCCACAGTATCATTCAATTCACGCAACTTGCTACTCATCTTGGTCAGCGTTTCAATACTACCGTACGGTATGGAGCGAAAACGTACGAAACCACAGTCGGGAGTTTGAGAGAACCAACACAACACAACCCAAGTCAACCAGCACCGCGAGGTTCGAGCGTACCTTTCTTGGCTGAGAAGGGAAGCCTGCTTTGTCCACAATGCAATCATCTCAATGGACATTGAGATGTCCTCTGAGAACTGGACGGTTTGGCCCAGGCAGCCATTCATCAGTGTGCCGAGCGGAGAGTTCCCCTTTCTATCTTCTTGAGTTGGATTCCCTGCCATGGCCAAGAGAAGTCGGGTCTCCACATGGGACTTGATGCCCCCTCGATTGACAATCTGTTGGCAGAGTTTATGCAGCGGCGTTGTTTGCTCAAAGTCTTTCCTCTTGACAGCAGCAGGATACCGTGCCAGCACCATTTCAATGGAACTGAGCGGTGTATCTTGCTCTATGCAGTGCAACGGAAAGCAACCTTTTCTGTCCTCTATCATGGCAGCCCCAGGCCTACAGTGCAGCAAGTATTCTACAACCTTTGGGGACGCTCCTGACTTCATAGCCCAATGAAGGGGCGTTCTCCCGCTGTGGTCCTGTAGCATGGCTACCTGTGGATCAAATGTCAGCACCGTCAAGACGGCATCTTCCACAGGAGCCTTTCTTTTCATGGCAAGGTGTAGAGGTGTCATGCCATCCGTATCTCTGTGACGAGTAATTGGTTTGTCCGCGGGAGTTGTTTCTTGTAAGAGCATTTCTTGGACAATTCCAACCCGAGCTCCATTGGCCAAAGCCATGTGAAGCGGGCCGCGGCCAAGACACCGTGAGGACGAAGCTGACCTGGAAGCTGCACTCATACAGCTTGGCCTGGTACCTACTGATCGTGATGCCGCACTGGCAGACATTCGGCTGCGCCAAGAGAACTTGCTGAAACAGGAAGTCAGACCTGACATGTTTGTTTGGACACTGGCAACGTCCATGAGTTCTGGCATGTCCTCCTGGGCAGTCGGTCCGGGTATTACAGAGTTTGTGTTTAGGTGCTCCATTTCTAGCTCGTGATGTTGGCTGGTGTCGTTTCCGTTGCTGTGAAAGTTTTGAAGGGCCGTGTGTTCTTTGGCGTACTCTTGTTCAATACCGTTGAGGGCCCTGCCGCCAACGGCTTCGTCGCTCGTTTGAGCCCCCCCAAAGATCGATCTTCCCACAAGAGGGGATGATGCAGAGAGCGGGCTGTGTTCTGTGGAAACCGTCATTCCGTCCAAGGATAGGATGGTATCCTCCAAGCGTTCCTGCACTTGACCTTGGGAAAGGAACCTTGGAGGCAGTGACCTGACAGATGCGGCTGAGGAGGAGGCGGAAGAAGAGGTCGTCTTGGATGAAGACATTGTGTTTATGCTTCTTACTAAAGATGTTGTTACCTCTTAGCTCGTACCGGTACGGTAGGGAGGCACTTGTTTGGCTGCTTCAGGTGTGGCTGTTGGATCAGCGAGTCAGGCCGGAGGAGCGAGAGGCAAGAGGCAAGAATATAGAAAGAAAGAGATGATGAAAACAAAAGATTATAGAAAAGATCCACGAGGGAAGCAGCCAGATTGGGGAGAGTGACAACGTGGCAATAATAGGCAAGATCGATAGGCTGTGAAACAACTGAGCATAACAGCAGCCCGATGATCGAGGTAAAGACTACGGTACCGGCTTTTGTGGCTGTCTAGTGCATTCGCTGGCTAGCGACGGTCAAACGTGAAGCAGCAAGCCAAGAAGAAGGAGCCCTGCTGTACTAGTGTTGAAACGCAATGCATCAACAACCTTACTACTGTACTGGACAATACGGTACCACCGAATGCATTCTCTGTGCACTGGAGGCTACCGTGTGTTCCCGACTGGAGAAAACGACAAGACTGCCACTGTAGCATTGCTCGACTGGCTGGCTGCTTGCTGCTGAAGCCTTCCATGTTCCATTCGATCAATCGTCTTACCTTGTCACGGTCTTCTACAAAATGAACACTGGACTGATGGTGTTCGGTCATCTTCAACCTGAGCTCGACTATTGCCCAAAGCACTTTCTATCAGTGCACAGTGCACAAAGCACAAAGAAGCACATCAACCCTAATTTAGGTGCACACTAAGCGGCTTTTTGATCTTTTGTTGCGAAATTGTGGTGACTGAAGCATCCCCCTGCGTTGAGTGACGGAATTGTCCTCATCCCTTTTGTAGCAAACAATAATAAGCCAGCAAGCGCTGTGCGAAGCTCCCTGAGGTGCAACAAGGCCACCAAATTGTTGGAACTGCAAAGACAGCTTCCACAGGAGTACACTGTAAGAGTAGCGAGCGACAATACATGTACCGTACATGGATGTTAGCTGCGAGGCAACAGACAAGTTCTTGCGTTGCTTGCCTGTACCTCTGGTATCCCCGCAGTTGCTTCCCCTCAGGGTACTATTGGAACAAGGAACATACATCACAGCGTGGAAGTTAGTCAATGTAGTTCATTGGTGACATGCAACTTTTAAAGCCAGCATCGGTGGCAGCTGCTGGCTGGCTACGGTAGTGAGCTAGCTAGTAGCTAAAAGTAGTGTGCGTGAGACAGTGACAACTAAAAACTAACTTGATACTATCGCAATACAAAGGTTGGGGCAAGCAAGTGGTCGAGCTGCAAGCAAATGGGCAGCGGCCTTTGGGAGGGCGGACTGAATGCGTCGGCCTTGGGCTGCTGCGCCGGAGGCATCTCGGCCACACCCTGCCTCGCCCTGGTTTTCATGCATGCAGTCTCAAATAAATATGAATGATGAATCCAATCCAATGCAGACTGCCGAACGTGAACTTTTCGTGGAGCTTATTAGTTAGCTACACAAGGTTCATGTTGTCCAAAGCAATTTCTGCTTACTAGCAAATGGCATAGAGCCCCTTCAAATCCTGCGCAATGGCAGTGGATTGCCCCTGTTCGTCGTCCTCTTGAAAGACCACTTGGGTAAGCTCCACCGCCAATGGTATTTCAATCATGGTATTCATCTTGTTGGCCAAGGGCAGGATTGCATCTTCATCCCAGCAATCAGAATCAGACTGATCGATGACGCTGGCGGTGCAACTTGCAAGGAAGAAGGAGGACAGTTCCTGAAGTGATGGCCCGTCATAGTGATCAGAGCCTGCAAACGGCGCAGATAGCAAAGGAGATGTGCTGGCATCGTCGGAATAGTGCGGAACGGCACTTTCTGTGCTCTTGTCAGTGGCTGCAGCGGTAACAACTGAACAGCCAACACTACCGTCGCTGGCGTCTGGACTGAGGGCGTCCCACGGCTGATGTTGCTCGTTTTGCTGTCTTCTCTGTTGCTCCTGATATTCAGTCTGACTAGCTAGAAGAAAGCGGCCCAAAAGATTGGTGGGCGTGTTCCCGTCCACCACAGCTTGAGTCTTGTTGGCCTTTCTGCAGGTGGGCTTTCGGATCCTGAGAGTGCCAATGACTTTCTTCATGGCTTCGCGGTCTCCAACATCATACCAAGTCCTGCCAGTTCTGCCGTTCGGTTGGGACAAGACCAGAAAGCGACCTGGAGGTTCTTGAGCTCGCCATCGGTAAATGATTTCCTTGACAATCTCAATTTTATGCTCTTTGTCCGCATGGTGGTAGATTTCCCGATACCCTTGGATCATGGTGCGGTACTTGACATTCCCGGGATGACAAGATGTGTGACCTCCACGGCCAAACAGGCAATCTATACACACAGACACGCAGGAGTGGGTTAGCTAAACTAAGGCGGGACAAATAATCACTTCATTTAACTTATTGGCTGCCACTCACCTTGGAGAGTTGGATACTCAATGTCGCTCAATTGTTGCGGTTGGATGCTCATGGTTTCTTGCTTTGCAAATCTGTGGAACTCAAAAAACTCAATAGTTCGCCTTTGGTTTTGGTTTCTGCTGAGAGGGTTGAGGCAGTTTATGGGCTTGTAACATTCCACTGCCCACAGCGAACGAAGTCACGCAGTCAATAATGTGGGTCTTTTAGTCAGAGTCTTTGTCTCTTTGTTCGAGTGAATGCATACTACATGTAGTACGAACATACGAACCCACCTTTCTTTCGTTCCTAATTACTCCAAATAATTCCCTTACTCCCGGAAATACACTTTTCCTTCGGTTTTAAGCACAGGCAATTCCTTTTTCTTCTAAAGTTATTACGATGACTCACGTAGGCCAGTGATAAGTCACTATTGGTGAATGAGCTGAATCCCAAAGAGTACTTTCAAGGAATTGGGGAATTGCTTCATTTCGGGGATCCGCCAGCATCCAACTGAAAGGATCCTGGAAGATCCAACAACACAGAAGCAAAATTACGCACTTTTGTGCTTCCATGATGTGACTGCTGTTTTGTAACACAAGTTGTCCACGTGCCAATCCCTCTTCTCATTACACACTCGATATTCTCGTTGCGACCCAGCCTTCGCATTGACAACTTATTGCACTCTCTGATTATTTGATAAAAAGATACACCAGTTCACCACACCTGCTACCGGTACCGGTATGTATGAGCGTTGAGCTATGTAGGTCGTAGAGCTAGCTAGCTGTGGTAGGTAGGGAATGGATAAGGTAACTCGGCGATATCGGGAAGGTACACTGTAGAGATTCTCTTTTGGAGCAAGCAGTTCCAGTTCCAGTTTCTTGTAGTGAGTTCTCCCAAACAACGTCTTTGGAACGAGATGATTTAGCACAATACTGCTCAATCCATCTACGAGAGAAGTCAATGGAAGAGGGGGATGACACCAATCACCTGCTACCAATAAGCCTGCTTCTCATCGTGAGGATTGTGGCTATTGCCGATGGATACTTTCTGTCCCTCTAGATACTCAAAGGAATGGGCTTCTGGTTATGAGTGGCTGGTCAGCCAACCGCCATCCGCTCCCTGGCAACTATACCGGTACCCGTTCCACGGCATAGTATCAGCACCCATCGCTTTGCTAGATACCTGCAGGGCAAACACCACAATGCCCATGAATGGTGAAGACCTATACAAGTACTACCAGACTACCAGTACCATGTTTCTATCCTCTATCCTACCCAGTTTGACTTGCAACGAAGTTATCAGATTCTGCTCGCTGCACCTTCCACTGGCGCCTTTCAACTTTCAAGCGAGTCTAGGTCTAGTAGAAGAGCTCTGGCTAGAAGAAGTCAAGCTTGAGTTCTTATTTTCCCCGAGTTAATGCCCCCTTTCCTTTCTTTTCATCAGTATTCATGGAACGGGGAGGTTCGCTTCGTGTTTTCCTCTAACGCGTTTATACCGGTACACGCTTCTTGAGCAGTTCGGTGAAGATAGAGCTATCATACAGTACTAGCTAGCTAGCTACTAGTAGAGTGAAGTCGGTTCGGATCTTCCTTCGATGCACAGCTTTTGCATTGCTCTTGTTTCCGGTGGTCATGAGAGCTTCATGAGCGAAATCCGAAGCATGCAAAAGAGACGTGGACTTCGGTAGACTAACGTCGGTGAATCTTGTCCCTTAGCTTCTGCACTGTTTTCGTGTTACTGTAGTACCGGTAATTTTGGACAGTGGCCAAATGGGAAAAAAGGATGCGTCACAGGTCAGCTGGAGGATTTTCCGAATGACGTCAGATGACGAAATTGAATTATTCATCGTGGCTGCAGACTGATCTGCCTTTAGCCAGCCACTGGTACCAGTGGTAGTAAACTACTACAATATCTATCTGCCGCAAACCTCCAATTTTGCATGGTTGTTGCACGATGCCAAGTCCTTCTCGTCATTTCTATCAATAGTCAGGATCCCAGATTGTTTTCAAACCCAAGCTGGAAAGGAGGAGGATAGTCTAAATTAAAATGTACGGTACAACTGTACACTGTACACCAAAATACAAGTTTTACTGTACGGTAATCCCAAGAGAGGACCTCTATTGCAGCTTGTATTGGATGTCACTGTGTAGATGTAAACAGTTGCTCGGAAGGTACTCAAGACACAAACCGACTTGAAACCAGTGACTTGCTTGCTTACAGCATAACCCAGCACCGTATTTACAATAAACCTTTAGAACACTGCACGAGAGGGAAAATACGGTATGGGACTTGCCAGCAAGATCGTGCCTTCCCCGACCGGACTCAGTTTAGGAAGAATGCGACTGAAGAAGTGAAACATTAACACTAAATATGCAAGAACGTGGATGTCCTTCTTTGACACCACCGCGTCATCTGTGATGCTTTGCCCCCTCGCCCTTCTTTCTGGTGTGTGGTTATTGTGTTTAGAGGTTTGCGGACGGATTGTGAAAATTTGACTTCTAAGTAAGAGTGCAAACGGCACTGTTTGTATGAAGGCGCGAATTAGTTTGATTTTTTTAGTCCAATGAGGAGTGTCAGTTTGACTGGTTTTTGGCCAGGCAAATTCCCCATGTTGTTGAAGCCTTGAGAACTTGCAATTGAAGCGGGTTCCAAAGCCAGAGCAATTGCAAAGCAAACACGGCATTGGCTGCTTCGATTCGATTCATACAGTAAGACTAGACTAGACTAGCTAGCTAGCCAGCAGGAGAAGCTTTCTCATAAAACAAGAAAAACGCAAACTACACATACACTACTATTCCAACAACAAGATGATTCGAAGATCGCGCTTCACTACCAGCACCAGCAATGTTAATAGCACTAGCAACGGCGACGATCAAATGCAAAATCAATTGCAAGTGACGAGTGACTCGTTTTCCGATTTCGACGAACGCGCGTCGCTTCTGACATCGATTTCTCGAGTGGTCGCTACGAGTGTGGCAGCGTCGACTACGATGACTGACACTCAATACGACGACGAAGACGATGCCATCAACACCGACGTCGACTTGCAGGATCTGCCTCCTACTTACTCGCTGCAGTACAGAATCGTCTATTGGACTTTTGTCTCCTTTCCCACTTTGTTGACAGACTTAGTCCGACTGACTGTCTTTGTAGTCCTGCTGGCTCCTGCCTTCTTTTCATTCTTGAAATTCTATTGCACCTGTGACAGAAAGGTCCTATACTACAAAAAGGCTTCCGATACCAGTAGATCCATACGGAATCAAATGGATATCTACAGCACGATTGAAAACAACTCAAACAACACGGACAACCTCAAGCCAGTCCTCATCTTCTTTACAGGAGGAGCTTGGGTCATTGGATACAAAATGTGGGGAGCCTTTCTGGCAAAGGTATTTGCGGCCATGGGGGTCGTTGTCGTTGTTCCGGATTACAGAAACTACCCAATCGCCACTGTACCGGCCATGGTGCAAGATACAGAACAAGCCATTCAATGGACACTGGACAATGTCCATCTATATGGAGGAGATCCTACCAAAGTCATGTTGGCGGGACAATCCGCTGGAGGACACTTGGCTTCGGTTGTGCTGCTGCAAAAGGCGCTCAAACTCGTCAAGGGAGAACCCATTACGGGATTCAAACCCACCGATCTACTGGGATTCTGCTCCATTTCCGCTCCTTCTGATGTACAAGCCATGGCCACTAACTTTCAAAAACATGGACTCGATCAGTCATTTGTTCAGTCACTCTTTGGAGTCAAGGCCAATTCCGCTGTTTCCATGGATGACAATGATCCACAGAGATTGGTGGAAGAATTGCAGAGAATCATGGAAAACAACAAATACAACGGATACAGCAGCAACGAAGACGCGCACAACACTCCTGCTGCTACTACTATTCTATCCATGGATCAAGTACTTCCTCCCATGTCCATCTTTCATGGAACAGCAGATCAAACGGTGCCTTTTGAAGTCTCGGAACGATTCGCTTCCTCACTACAGGATGCGGGAGCCCAAGCAGAATACATTCAATATGATGGATGGTCACACACGGATCCCATTCTAGAGGCCATTATGGAGGCGGATCATAGATTCCACTGTGATTTGTACGACAGACTTTATCAATCGATACAAAAGAAGAGAAACAACAGCAGCAGAGAACAACTGTCGTCAAGCATGCCACCCAAGTTGGATGATACACTGCCAGAATGTGCGCAACTCTGCCCTTCGCCTCTCGTCAAGGCGGCCAGATTCTGCAATCCATTCTAAACTATCACAAACAAACCACAACCAAATCAAAGTTTTGTTACACGTGCCATTGAATTCTTGCCAATGATACCTACTGTACTGTAAGCAAGTTACACTGTAAAACTAAAAATAGAACTGTCTCTCTGTACGGTGTTGTGCTCGTACTGGTACAAGTGCTTCAGTAGGTGGTTGGACCGAAAGGACAAGAGACATTAATAAATGGCAGCCCTGGCAGGACTGGGTGACTCGACCGGTTAGCCAGCGCCTTTGGTGCGCCAGGGCACACCCCAAATAAAGGGTCGATTGCGAGTTAGTTGGGTCGGTCCTTTGACCGCCGATCTCGCTCACACCGTTAGAACTAGCAAGAGCTGCGAGAGCCGCCAGCAAGCTTCAGCTTTATCGTGCCCAAGCAAGCGATCGGTTCATGTCGCCGCTCGTGCGTCGGTTCTGCAGCCAGCAACTCGAGAAAAGTACAGTGCCAAGTGCCAATCCTGGGAGCGAAAACACACCTCACCCCACTACCGCCATCTCACGAATAAGGGGATGACGCACATGTAGATCCTTCCAAGGACACGTCAACCTAACGGTACGAAAAGGGGAGCAGCTGAAGCCAAAGCCTGGCAACGTCAAGGCGTCCTCACTCGGACAACCTCACAGTATTCATTCGTATTCGGCTCTGTTCCATCATCTATCGCTAACAAGTTTATGGTTGCGCCAACCAGCAAAGGTATACCGGCAGGGTATCGACAATTCGATCATTCGACAGCACGCGTAGCGAAGGCGAGCTTGGCTGGAAAGCAAACGACCACTTGTCTCCACGAAGCCAGTGGATCTCGCTTTTACGAGGCAATCATGCATGCACGTACCGGTACAACAAAACCTTGACAGGAGAAACTCCATAAGATACCGAACACCCGCGGAGCGATGATTCAAAGCGGTCTGTAGTATTCGTGGCTGCACGAAGCAATGAAGCAAGAGATGAACAGCAAAGACAATGGCTTCGGCAAGACAAAGGTGTCGACTCGAATCCAGCTGGTGCCTCACAGCTACGTGTACACGGGGATGCAATCTGGAAGTCATACTTGAGTTGCTTGCCTTACTGCTGGAACCCAGGACAGGGATTCCTTTCGTCCTTGAGATGCTCCATTTCGCCCTAAAAGGATTCGATTCCAGGTAGTGGATGCGATTCTTTGTTTCCCACAACCCCTGCTGGCTAGGAGGACTGCCCCAAGATCTATTAAAATAGGGGTGCTCGGTCGAATATCAGGCTGTTTGGTGGTGTTTCAAGTTACTGTCACCCCAGCAGCAATGGCATGCATGTAAGGCAGTACGTTGGGGGTTCCACAAGAGACTCTCCCGGGGTTTGACAGGGGCAAAGGATTCCTTCACGATCAGAGCATTTCCAAGGGATGATGGTGATTGGTAGAAACCATACCATTTTGACACAGACTCACCAATCTGGGATTATGGCTGTTCATGTCATGCCGTGTCCAAAGACTGTACCTGGTACCAAGATGACTGGCATCATTCGACAAAGCTGCACGTTTCTGTTGGGCTTGTAGCTTGTGTGGGGTGGGATGTCATTGCTTAGCACATGATTGTTCCCGTATCCATGGACTACTATTACGTACCCATCCAACTGATGAGGGCGCCCAGGAGGCATTCGATTCTGTGTGTCCATGCCATGCTTATCAGAGATCTCGGCAAATGCATTTTCCACACAGAGAGATAAGCCTTCAGAGCAGGACCAAGTATTAACCCTAATCAAGCCAGTCTCGTGGAATGGTCGATGGTTGGGGAAGAGGTAGCGTCTCAAATGACTGACTTTAAATCTTGATTTCTGAATAGAAATGTCATGACATTACAGCAAGCGAGCTTTTATCCATAGCAACTTTTACCAGCTTACCAGCTGCTAGCTAGCTAGTACTTACTTACTACTTTGTACGAGGTACGAGGATAGTGAGATTCTGAATGACTGCGAAAAGAAGCCATGAAGAAGGCAATATTAATAGTTTAAAGACAGTCATTATGGTGTCCGAAAGGAGATCGCTTCAAACAGTGAGTACTTGTAAGTACTGAGAAGCTTATAGTACCAGTATGGCTGTGACAGTTACTTGAACACTTGAACTGGGGCTTCCGCTTCGATTCGATTCTCACAACTTACACAACAGTATGCGCCCACCTTCCCAGACAGGGAATGAAGAGATTCTACAGAACGGAGAGTATGAGTTAACAGGGAGCCGACCATAAGGGAGACTGACGGACAGGAATCCGGGAGAGCCACTCATCCAAGGATGAGGTGGTGGACCGAAGTGTCGGGTGCACAGGTGGTGTGCCTATGTGGTGTTGATGACTAGCTAGAAGGACGACTAATCGGGCGGCTACAAATCAGGTTCACTTTTTCTGAACCAGAGTTGCAGCCGCCCGACACCAATTTTCCTTTTTGACTGGGGGTAATTAGTGTGAGCGTCCGCAACCTGAAAAAGTATCTGCTGCCCGACAGTGACCGCCTCCCTCGCCAAACCTTACTCTGAAGAAAAGTAAGCATGGACTTAGAGTTTGATGACGCCAGCGGCGGGTCACACAGTGTGACTTCCTTAGGGTCCGGTGTCGAGATGGCGGCGTTTTGCACACCGCCGAGTGGTGTGCAAGGAGAGTTTTTGTCGAGCCCGATTCTCATGAAAGGTACCGTCTATGTTTGTTTCAGTGACGTGGTATCGAGTGTAACCGGCCGGTCACCGAGGACTACTCGGTCCAACCAGGTGGGGTACTCCTTTGAAGGGGTGCTTAGACGCAATGACAAATACTTTGACGGAATGCTAGTACCGCCTTGTCCCCCACGAAACGGCCGTTCTTCAAGCAAAAGAGCGAGCTGGGACGAAGCGCGCTCCATGAAGGACCCGCGAACGCTCTCCCGGGATAACGGTGGAAACCGTGAACATGGGATCGCCTGACCCAAACGAGCTTTTTCGAGTGGAAGCACAAGGGACGTGGAGGGTCGATTCCTTCGAAGGCGAAGAAGCCCCGGCCTCGCCGGGACTTTCTCGAGCGATACCGGCGGATCTTTCAGCACCCCATCCCGGGTCATCAGAAGATCGCTGCCCGCAAGAAAACACCCGAAGGTCGCTGAACGAGGAGAGAGAGCCCAAAAGATCTCGGAGCTGGCCGCCCAGGAACGAGCAAGGAGGAAGTCGCCCAAGAAGAAAAGCGGCTCGCGGCAGCAAACTATGAGAAGAACGAGCCACTGAGATGGCCGTCCAGAAGCTCCTACGTGAACACGAGGCAGCCGGAGCACAACGAGCGAAGGCCGCGAGGCCGCCAAATACAAGCAGGAGCAGAGTCCAGCGGACGCGTTGAACAAGCCCTGCCGCCAAGGCTCGCCAGGAGGACTCCGAGATAGGCACCCCGGGACAGGCGACGGTACGGCTCCGCCGACACCCAGCTTCTCCTCTGGAGTACCATCCAGTCCACCAGCCGCTTTTGGTACGGGAATGTGAACGGGGTCAATGGAGCATACGAGTGGTCAACGAACAGCGACAAGATGCAGCCATTCGCCAGCGATAGGATTCTTGCCTGTGCCGCAGCACGGCTGCCGAAGCCTGGGATATGGGTGAGTGCCGAACTCGACCATACAGCTGACAACGCCCCGGCCCCCGACGAGATCCGGCGATGGGAAGTCCCTAGCCCGCCAATAGTCGAGGGTACGCAATCCAGCCGGCCCACCCACCATGCTCGCCGGAAAGGCCCGTCTACCAAGGACAAAGATCGATCTACAACATCCCCATCAAGGAGGGCACGGCAGTTCTCGCGAAAGGTTTGGCCCCAGAAGGAATCAGTCCGCGAACGGCCAAAACATTTGGCAACACCATGCTAGATGTATTGTCCCTACCAGGTAAGACACAGACCGTTGAACGCGACGATGTAACAAGCGAAATCAGAGATTCTCTCTTCGCCGCCGTCATCGCCAAACTGTCGACGACGAGGAGGTGCCCCCGACCTCAAGTGGCAGCATCCTTCCAGAAACTCAGTCCAGCTGCAAGAACGACGAAAACCTACGGAACTCAAGCGAGATGT